CATTGAATGATGAGAGGTTTCGTCTCTCTATATATATTAAACCTACACCTGGGTCACAAGTCCCAGTCACTGTTGAAGCTCCTCTCACTACAACGATGGACCCGACACACGCACCGTGAATACATTGAATGATGAGAGGTTTCGTCTTTGTATATTGCAGGTTTAAACTCTGAACTATAATGATACAGATTTACCTTTTCAACATCTGCATTATATACAATTTCACACTTGCATTTATCTCGTCAAACAAGTTTTATACGCAATAAGTAATAACATTAGTATCACGTCATGATCATTGCTTAATCGTTTAATAACTCACACACTATATTTGTATGTAATTTAAAATAATATCTATGTATTAAATCAAGTGGAACATATCTTATTATAAGCAAATATATACCTATAATTATAAAACAAGGATTGATTTAGTACAAATTGGTTTGTTCGTCTTCAATACGAAAAATAATACTAAATAAACTACAACGAAGTATTGGCATTATGTATGAAGCATTATGAGAGTGGAAAAATTTAGGAAATTGGTTCAGTGATAACAGAATAGTCACATGAAGGAACAGATAACATTTGATTGCTCACCTCGCGATGCAGACAGTAGGGTAAATACACGCTATAACAAATATATACATACAGAAATAATGTTTGTATATAGTATGAATGACAACACGAAATAAGATCGTAAAACAGATGAAGATAAATGTACTGGAAGGTCGTCGTCATCATCAGCCTATCTGAGTCCACTGCTGAGCAAAGGCCTCTTTCTCACATGGAGAAGGTTTGAACATTAATAACCACGCTTGCTCAAGACGGGTTGGTGATTTCAAACTTATAATTGTGAAACTATAAGCCCAGCTTTCCTCACGATATTTTCTTCACCGAAAGGTCACACTAAGTAAATTAAATAACCAGGGAAGTACCACCCTCTCACAGAAGATCGGCGTGAAGTAGTCTTTAATGACTGCGTTTCATCTGATGAGTGAGAGAGATTCCCTCCCTTTCCTCTCTTCCTTTATTCCCACTCCTTCCATTTCCTCAACAATCAAGGTTGGCAACGCATCCGTAACATCTATGTTGCGTACTAGATCTTAGTACGAGTATGCTTATTGCATCGTCACACTACAATATACGTAGTGTTAACAGTATTTCATTCATAAATCTTCGTACATTATGCTCGTAGTATTAACGTAGGTTATCGAATGAGAAACGGGAAACGCGTAGTATATGACGATGTAGGTAAACTTGTCCTAATTAAATTAAGTAGTCTTCCTTATACTCTACTAGCTTTCCAAGTTATCGCGTTTCCAAGAGATATCACGTTTCCAAGAGAACCTTTCAGAAGTCTGGAATAAAAACTATCCTATGTTCTTTCTCAAGGTCAACTCTATCTCTGTACCAAATTTAATTAAAATCAGTTCAGTGGTTTAGGTGTGAAAGCGTAACAAACATACAGACAGTATTACTTTCGCATTTATAATATTAGTAGGGATTCTGATTGGTTAATATTCTGGGTCTATTTATATTTTCTTAAATTTCCATTGCCTTTTTAATTATGATATGATAAAAAATATTCCAAATTTCCAAAGCTTCGTCAATATATCCAAATATTTCATCATTTGTGAATGCAATACATACCAATCTTGTAACATGCTAAATTCGTGAGTTATCTTTGTATGTAGGTCATAATAAAGTTATCTTTTTATCAGTCAAATATTATCTATGCCACCCATTAAGTCTAAACGGTGGTTCAAATCAAATGATGGATAACCACGAAATGTATTGCTAAGCAATTGTATAAATGTGTATGTTCATAATTTAGTGGTCGTACTTGTTCATATTTCAAGCATATGTTATATAAATTTGGTATTTTTTAAAATGATAAGTTCTAAATATATGTAGTTTTTAATTTAATAATTTACAGGACACTAAGGTCTAAGAGTATTTAGACATCACTGATTAATGCATTCCCAAAGAGGGTTGATGTCAGGCAAGCGGCCGGTCGTAGAAACAATTAGCCAAAACTATTCACAACATGTAAGACAGACCCTGGGTAAAGCTGGGAAATTGCCAGATAGAAGAAGAGAATTTACAGAACACATATGACTGGACATAATATTATGTGAACAGTCGTTTATTAAACAAATTAACGCATCATATATTGTTATTTAATATTAATAACCAATCTATAATTATAACACTCCACGTACATATTTTGTAACCAGATTTCCTCTTAGCGTCACGAGGTGGGCGTTTGTAAACTTATCAAAACATTTATTAATATATTGTTATTTAAATTTACAATTATAATTCTTAAAACAGAGACTAAACCTCTCATCATTCAATATATTCATATGCGTGTGTCAGGTCCATCGTTGTAGTGAGAGGAGCTTCAACAGTGACTGGGACTTGCGACCCAGGTGTAGGTTTAAGGGTCTCTATCTAACGGGTTAAACGCTCACCTCCACCGTCCAAGCTCCTCTCTCTACCAAATTTCAAAAGAAACTACTAGGGCTGCCTTCGACGTACGTTCCAAGAATGAATTGATATTAGTTCTGGACAGACCCAAGACTTTTAGTAGGTTGTAGAAATATTTATCTGTTATACCTCTAAATAAGTGTAAATAAAACATGAAAAATTATTTTATTACATACTAGCTTTTGCCGCGACTACGTCCGCGTGGAATAGTGACTTCAGGCAGATTTTTGGTTCTTCCCACATAGTTCCCGTTCTTGCGGGGTTTTCGGAATTGTCGACTTCCCGTAGAATTTACAGGATAAAACCTGTTTTTTTCATTCATAATGACGTACTCTTAACCAACAAAATATTTATTTGTTTATTTGAATAAAGATTAATATTAGTATGTTGATACAGCTTAAACAAATTATTTCGACCAAATTAGGTACCATAAAAACTTTTTGTGAGTTAATCTTAAAAGATAGACATATACTGTCGCGGACTCTTTTTTAGATCATTAAAAGAGTTATTATTCTTTAATACATATTTTTTGTGTATCTTGAACCGTTTCAACGGAAGGGTACAAAGATGAAATAATTTCTCCCGTTTTTGACACATTTACCACTATATCTTTGCTCCTATTGGTCGTAGCGTGATGGTATATAGCCTACAGCCTTCCTCGATAACTGGACTATCCAACACAAAAAGAATTATTCAATTCGAACCAGTAGTTTCGGAGATTAGCGCTTTCAAACAAACAAACAAACAAACAAACTCTTCAGCTTTATAATATTAGTATAGATAATATATATTAGGTATATTTGATATTTTTATTATTGTGACATAAACTGCCTTTAAATATTTATACAAAATGATTCAAACTATTTTATATATATATTGATATTTTTAACCACATTATATTATATTAATTTACAGTATAGCTATTGTTTTCAACAATACATCCGTTACACGGTAACATATGACAGAGAGATATTATTAAATTGTTTCGTTAGTAATATTCGGTGTGACAGCGGCCTGTATATAGTGACGTCATCATTACATATTTCAATAAATTCTTCAATATTTATATATTTTAATATACGGTACATAAATGTTTGAAATCGGTATTATTTTTATGATCTCTTATCAAAAGTAACACGTTTATAATATATTTCTTTAATTTAATTTTTCATACTACTTTTTTTGGTCTAACATTTTTCCGTTTGGTCTAAAAACACAAAATCCTAATATCGTTTCAGATACTTCAATAATATTGTTTAGTACCTTTAACACTAGTAGTCACACTACAAATAGTAACGCATTTTTATGACCTTACAATGATATTATTCTATCGATATTTTAAGAATGAAATACTTCATACTCTCCATAAGTAGTTTTCAAGAGAAACTTGTATTAAGTCTATTGATATCATTGAAATGTGTTGAAAAACGATCTAATATTGTCAAATTATTATCTTTTAAGATACATAAATACAATATTCAGTGACAAAAATTACTTATTTTATTAAAAATAAAGTAAAAATTCAATTTAATTTCAATAACACGTTATAGTTATCATTATTACGTTGCTACGTTTTAATTACGTCCAGATCTCGACGGGTCTACGTCATTATCGTAAACGCCGTATTGTTTATTGATTTTATATTATTTATGATTTTTACGTCAAAAGTTTAAATGCGTACTTTATTATAATGACTCTAAAATAGACAGAGTGGAAAAAGTTTAAAATTAATATTCGGTAACTAGCTGACCCGGCAGACTTCGTACTGCCTCAATCAAGAAATAAATTATGTCTTATTTATTTTTTTGGTGTTTTCTTTAAGCCATAAATCTCCGTGTTCTGAAGTGCGACAAAATGATTGACATATGTATTAGTTAGTTGTCAAACCTAATGTCAAAAAACTGTTTGTATGGGAAATAAAAAAGCGCTGTTTTTAGGGTTTTCCCGGAAATTAATAAATTTTTTTCATCTTTTAAACCTTCCCTGAACCTCCACGAACATTTCAAGACTCTGTTAAGATAAATCCGTTCAGTCGTTCTCGAGTTTTAGTGAGACTAAGGAACAGCAATTTATTTATATATATATATGGATTATTAAAACTACATATAAACATATATTGTATATCGAAATTTTTATTGAAGTGAAACTTCTTATGCGACTTTTAACAAGGTTGCGTTAAATGTTTAACGTTCGGGGGGGGGGGGAGATAGAATGAGAAGGAATGGCCTTCCCTCTCGCTCTGTCTGTTACTTAGTCTTATTTTTATATAAATTGTGTATTTTTAAATATAAGAAGTTAGTGATTAGATTATAATATTACATTTTTGCCAAATATTTTATTGGAATAATATTTATCGTTTATTTTAATCTAGATGTTTCTTACAAATTAGTCCAAATAAAATTAAAAGAAATAGTATTATAAAATAATGTTTATGTCCGGTTATTAAGTTCAATACTTTAACAATAAACTTAAAATTTTATTTGTCTTTAATATTCCAGAATCTTCAATTCACGATGCAGAATTTTAAGGCTCTTTTTCTCCAACACACGTCACTGACAAGGAATCATTTGACCCCTGAAATTCTTCTACGTCTGGTGACCCCGAGTTGTCCTTTGTGGAGGTCAAAGGACAGTCCGTTTGAGGACCCCTTCTGGGCGTTCTACTGGCCGGGAGGTCAAGCTACTGCCAGGTAGGATATAATATATATCAACAGAAGTAATAAGCTACTTCTAGTCAATGTCAGTGGTGGCCTAGTGATTAAAAGGTCCGCCTCTCATACACGAGGGCGCGGGTTCAATCCAGGCAAGTGCCAATGTGATTTTTCCGGATCATATGTACTTTATGAGAGTATTTAGACATCACTGGTTAATACATTCTCAAAGAGGGTTGATGTCAGGCAGGCGGCCGGTCGTAAAAACAATTAGCCAAAACTATTCACAACATGTAAGGCAGACCCTGGCTATAGCCGGGAAATTGACAGGTAGAAGAAGAAGATAACAATCTACTTCTAGGAATTAGTCTTGGTCAGATTTTAAGTAGAAATTTTCAGAAATGATGTAGGTGATTATTAATTTACGTATTACTAATATAAACTTCTGAATTCTGGTATAACTAAATAGTCAGGTACCACGAATCATAATAAGACTATCATCCCTACTAATATTATAAATGCGAAAGTAACTCTGTCTGTCTGTCTGTCTGTCTGTCTGTCTGTCTGTCTGCTACGCTTTCACGCCTAAACCACTGAACTGATTTTAATGAAATTCGGTACAGAGATAGAGTTGACCTTGAGAAAGAACATAGGATAGTTTTTATCCCAGACTTTTGAAAGGTTCTCTTGGAAACGCGATATAACCGAACTCCACGCGGCGAAGCTGCGGGCGGAAAGCTAGTCTATATATATAAAAGAGATTTCCACCTATACAGGGTGACTGGTGAATTACTATCAATATTTAAGGAGCATACTCGGTACATGATTCTCATTCGAATTATGTAAAAAAAATAGGTACTTAATTTTTGACCAAATTTCCGTATAAATAAATAAAGTGTGTACACGTTCCAAGTGTTCCTAGTGTGGACGCGTGCGGCGGCGTGCTGATACAACAACACGCCGCCGCGCGCGTATGTGTGAGTGTGTAGTGTAGAGTAATCTGTAGGGTGTTCATACGATGCGTAATTAATTACACAACTTTTGGTTAACTTTACTTAGAAGTTTATTAATATTTATGTTATATTAATTTTTATCTTGTCATATATGATCGTCAAATATCACGTCCTCAAATATCGATAGTAATTCACCAGTCACCCTGTATATTGACTCATCACGATATCTCTGGAACGACTTGAAATTTGGTAGGATTATTCCTTTCGCCGAGTATAGGTCAGCTAAGAACGGATTTTACGAAATTCCATCCACAAGGGGGGTTGCGGGGGCGTTAACAATGGAAAATACACTTTCACGCCTAAACCACTGAACTGATTTTAATGAAATTTGGTACAGACATAGAGTTGACCTTGAGCAAGAACATAGGATAGTTTTTATCCCAGACTTTTGAAAGGTTCTCTTGGAAACGCGATATAACCGAACTCCACGCGGGCGAAGCTGCGGACGGAAAGCTAGTTTAAAATACAATTAATTATTAAACATTTGTTTTCCAAGTGTTATCTATGACGACTGTATTACCTTATTGTAAGTACTACACACTAAGTGTAATACGATAATTTGAAATAAATAAAATCAGAATGATTATAATATATGTATATAACAAAATATAATATACTAATGTTTATATTTTAATAGTTTTCCTTCAATCGTAATTATCAACTCTGTGTAAACTAATAACTATTAAATCAATTTACTTGGAAATAAAACTCTATACCTACACTTGTGTGTGTGTGTGTGTGTGTGTGTAAAATATGACAGTTATAATAATATAGCAAAAAAATCGTCATTATTTCTCTTTACTTTTCTGGTCACATCAAATAAGTATGTATATCAATATTTATAAAGCCAGTACTATAAGGAAAACTATATTTTAAATCAGTTACGAGCTGATTTTCCACAATTCTACATATTGTTTGTGTTATGGGAAATAACTTGATCTTAATACAATTTGATTTGCGTCAAAATATTTGCATTATACATGCTTGTTCTTTGAACTATTATAATATAATCACAAACTCTTGGATACAAGAGATTAATGGGAAATGATTTATGATTGATAATAATAATGTCTAGATTAATCGGAGGTTGTATGAAAGATATTTAATAATGTGTGGCGTGGGTCGACTGAGTGTGAACTTATGTGACACGTGATCTTTGTACGTACAGACAGATGTTCTTAAATATATCTTGTTATAGCTGATTATATATATAATTATATTGTTCGTGTGTATGTCACTGAAGTCTTAAACAGCAGTTGAAGCTCCTCTCACTACAACGATGGACCCGACACACGCACCGTGAATACATTGAATGATGAGAGGCTTCGTCTCCTAAAACTTTATTCGTAAATTTGACAAAATTATTGCCTAATTCTTCAAAACTTGTTTCGGAGTCAATTGTATAGAAAAAAATCATCACTACTCATATTATAAATGCGAAAGTAACTCGGTCCGTCTGTCTGTTACGCTTTTATGCCTAAACCACTGAACTGATTTTATTGAAATTTGGTACAGACATAGAGTTGACCTTGAGAAAGAACATAGGATAGTTTTTATCCCAGACTTTTGAAAGGTTCTCTTGGAAACGCGATATAACCGAACTCCACGCGGGAAGAAATATAAATTAAACAAATCGCATATAATTTTTATATTTCAATATCTCATTTCATGACTCATCCTATTTTCTGAAACATTCAATTCCTGATGACTCACATCTGCTGTCCTTGTCTCTCTTATGTCTTTTATTATCCGTCTCACTCTAAGGCTTTAATTTATTTTTTCAGGAGTTCCGACATTCATCTATAGTCATGACCTCACTTTATTTAAATTTTAGACGTTAAAATTATATGTAAATTATATAAATATTACAATTCAGAAGAAAACAGATTTAAACTTATTGATGTTTTTCTCATTATGTACATCAATAAAAACTATAATTAATTTAATTTAAATTACGCTTTATATAATCCATTGGCAAGTAAGTAATTTCGGAATCCAGCCAATAAGTCGTTTCAGACATGAAAAAACAGACAAATTAACCAAGATTACATATATCGTCGATGAAGTACCAATACCTCCTAGAAGAAAAAAATTGTAAAATACATACGAATAAATAGGTATTTTCACATAGCTCAAGAAACTGTTTGGTAAATAAATATTGGATAGGAGTAAATTCAATCTTTGCGAATATGAGTTTTATGTCTATTGTAATAAAAAGCACTTTTGGACTAAATTGTCATTAGGTATTGGTACTTCATCATATTAAATTAAATAATGTATAACAATACTGTTACCTGACCTTGAGAAAGAGCATAGGATAGTTTTTATCCCAGACTTTTGAAAGGTTCTCCTGATAACGCGATAAAACCGAACTCCACGCGGACGAAGCTGCGGGCGGAAAGCTAGTATAATATATACAAAAACATGTCTCAATTCTTTTCAATGAAGATTCTCAAGTTAGTAAAAAACCAAAATTCCAAGTCTACTATGAATGAAGCCGTAGAATCCCTCAACATGAGTCATAGTTGAACTCATTGAATATTGTATCTTATTATAATAAAATTAAGGTTGATTATTGTTTGTTAGTTGATAACATTAATAAATAAATCCGCTTACACACGAAGAGATTTCTTTCTTGGAAATGCTCGCTTGGAATGAAATACAAACGTGTTGGTAGCCGTTTGTATAATATGGTATTAAATTACAAATGATCAATGGACGTTATACACACACACACACACACACACACACACACACACACACACACACACACAGACACACAGACACAGACACACACACACACACACACAGACACACACAGACAGACACACACACACAGACATACATACGATACGTATAATAATTTAAATTATCAGTTTGTATACAAACTAAATAAAATCATTCAATAATATTGATGTCGAATTAAATTGATGATGCTAAATAATAATGTACTATATTAGTTCAATATATGTATGTACATATGTATATATTCGAAACTACCAAACTAGTTCATTGACCTCCATCACACAAAACTTCTTTCAGTCTCACAATGATCTATTAATCAATATTAAAACATTAATTAAAATAATATTGTATCACCCGATTTAGTATATTAACTTCATGTACAACATAAATAAATTTATTTCAATAACTATTTAATTAATATATAATATATGATTAACTATGTAGTTTGTTATCTCAGGTCATAGTTCAGATGTGTGTGACCTTTGACCTCTATGACCTGTTCATTCACGAGTCACACGTCTTGTTAATGACCACACATTACATTAACTTATCTTTTTATCTCCATACAATGTACACGCGTGTTTTATTAACATAGAAATAGTTATTAAGTTTAAATACTAACGATTTTACGAAAAGATAAACAAACTATTATGAGATCTAAGACTTTCGCATGTATTCATTTAAATGAAACTAATATTATTCGGATTACTTCGCGTATTTAATTATTTTAAATTACATACTCCCGACGTTTCGGTTACTTTACAGCAACCGCGATTATAAATACATATTAGTTTGATTTAAATAAATCAGTGGTGGCCTAGTGATTACAAGGCCCGCCTCTCATGCATGAGTACCAATGTGATTTTTCCGAGTCATATGTACTTTCTAAGAGTATTAAGACATCACTGATTAATGCATTCCCAAAGAGGGTTGATGTCAGGCAGGCGGCCGGTCGTAAAAAGTTAAAAACAATTAACCAATACTATTCACAACATTTAAGACAGACCCTGGCTAAAGTCGGGAAATTGCCAGGAAGAAAAAGAAGTTTCATTTTAATGAATAAAACTCGCGATAATCTTAAATCTCTTTATTATATTCTTATGTTTTTTAACCCTTGAATGTTGTAGTCGTATATTTATATGTTAGTATTTCCGAGCCGGTTTAGGAATGAGTCATCTTCCCGAGGGAATTAAGGATGAGTCACACAGACTCCCTACAACATAACTACAATACAATTGTATAGAATACTAGCTGACCCGGCAAACTTTGTTCTATCATATAAAAATAGGGGTTGACAATAAAAAAGTAAAAATTTTTGGTTATATACATTTTTAATGCTACATTATAAAGAAATAAAAAGAGTGGAAAAAAAATTAAAGGTGAATAACCCTTATGACTAAGGGGTATGAAAAATAAATGTTAACCGATTCTCAGACTTAATATGGTCACAAAATTTCATGAGAATCGGTTAAGCCGTTTCGGAGTCTGGGAACGAACTTTGTGACACGAGAATTTTATATAAAATATATTTTTTAATACTATGTTGAGTATGTTATGTATGTTTATATAAATTATTCTCAATGACATCTAATACTTTAAAGAGTATTTATTTAAATGAAACTAATATTTTCGGATCTACAACGTTTTTGTTTCTTTGCAGCAACCATGATCAAAGGACGAAATGGGAAATAAAAAATAACGCGTAGTAATTCGAAAATATTAGTTTCATTTAAATTATTCTTATAATATTTTTTTCCTTATTTTAATGAATTTATTTCAACAAGAGCAAATCTTTAGATTAAGTTAATAATAAAAAAATAACAATTACGTTGACATTATAATTTATTTATAGATATAAATGTCAAATTACTATGATTCGTTACTCGCGTCGCTTTTGAAAACAGACAAAGAAAATATGTCACAAAATGACATATAATGAAACAGAGTACAAAATAAAGACTTGAATATAATCTGTAGAATAAATAAAGATCAAAATTATTTATATGAAATAATAATTCACAACTCACATTAGTTAAAAAATTAAACTTTCTATTTGTTTTTAAAACCTTTTAAATATACACTTAATTTCTTTATTGCCATTATTAATGTATTTAAATCTTCAACGTTTTTTTATAACTATAAGAATATTGTAAATATAATCATTAATGAGAGTATAATTACGATACTTATATTTAATCATATGTATTTAATGTCAAGTGTACTCGTCCGCCATCTTGTAGCGCCACGTCTACAGATCCACGCGGAGCCACGCGTCAATCTGATGTAACATATGATGAAACAATATTAATATTTTATTACAATACTTTCACAATATTACTCTCATTCATATATAATATTACTATATATTATAGCTTTTTTAACAGTTTCTTAGAAAATTGTCTTCAGGAAGTTAGAATGTAAGTTTAAGAAGAGTTGTTTCAGTGAAAAAAGAGAAATATAAAAACAGAATATCTGTGTTGTAATAATTTAAAAACTTTATTTCTCTTATGCTTACATTATTCTAAGAATTTTTTTATGTATCATATTTTTGTACTTAAGATTAATCATATTGTTGTTAAACTGAATAGATTATTATTTTCGTCTTAACAGAAGTGTTAAATATTTTTCCGAATGTCAAATCTTGTAGTAATTATTTAGTGATATTAAAAAAAAAACAACAGCAACATAAATATCATGCAATGAATACTAACAAATTTATTGTGAACAAATTATGTAATACTTTAATAGAATTTATATGAGATGAAATATACTATTATGGCTTCAAAAACAATTAACGTGATTGTAATTTACAATTTCAATAAAGTCTGGATATTTTTAATAAGTAATTGTTAATTTTAATATTCACATCCAAGCATTAATTTAGAGTTTATAGAAAGGTCTATTATGATTATAGCAAAAACTATTCAACAATTTAATATAATTTAAGAATCGGAAATTGCCGACATTAAACAAGTGCTGTCATCTGTATTCTATGCCACTGCATAGTTTTATAAACGGCCCCATAGATGGAGCTATCACCCAAATATAAATACATAGTTTCACAAATTAATAGCTTCTCAAATTAATAACATATTTTATACATAATTATTCACTTTAAAAAATAAAATGAGGATTCTTATTTATTTAAATAAAATTATGAATTTGAAAGTTTTAGTTAAGAAAAAGTAATTTTATTAAATTAGGAAGCCCTCTTGGCAAAAAAATATTGTTGATTGATTCTTATAACATAAAGAATCATTAACTTTTTGTATCGCTAACAGAATATGTACCTACAAAATTGAATAAAAACAAATATTTTTTTAAGTTCAAACTCTAGAAAACTGAATCATGAAAATCATTTTCTTATCCTGTATCCTATTGTTTTAAATGAAAAAATTGTTATCAAACAAGATTTCAATCATAAGAATAATCATAAAACTAAACCATGTTCTCTGTAATTGTATAAAATGTTATTTCTTTCTAGATACATTCTGGACAACCCTCTGATAATTAAAGACCGTCGCGTATTAGACGTCGGCAGCGGATGTGGCGCCACGGCGATAGCGGCGGCGCTCAGAGGAACTAAACGAGTCCTAGCGAATGATATAGACCCGGGTAAGAATTAAATAAAAAGATTCTATATACTTATATGTATAGTAATAATGAAAATAGAGTTAGTTAATATGATAAAATTGTTTATTAAATGGTTAGGATAGTACTATGGAGCAAAAAGTCACAATAATTCGGGTATATATTTGGTATAACATTATATTTGTTATTGAAGGGTTTAATTGCAAATAAATTTACTATTTGGATAACCTTAGCAGGATGGAAATAGAATACAGTTTTTTTTTCTTTAAAAAAAAACATGTAAGCATTACATACATTGTTAATATATTTTCTTGATAAAATAACTTTACAAACTTTATATAAATTATTACAAATGTTTTAAAAAAAATTCTTATGATAACCGATAAAGGATTAGCAAAAATATAGACAAAAAGTTGGAGATGCCGGGGATCGAACCCGGGGCCTTTCACATGCAAAGCGAACGCTCTACCACTGAGCTACATCCCCTGTTGAATATCATGTTAAAATAATGAATCAATTTACAGTCGCTGTTATGGCCATCAAAATGAACGCCGAATTAAACAACGTTGAAGTACAAACAGACACAAACAACTACATTGGAACTAATTGTGAAGAATTTGATACAATTTTAATAGGAGACATGTTTTACGACGAAGATTTCGGCAATATGTTGTTCACGTGGCTAAGAGAACTCGCGAGCAAGGATAAAATGGTAAAAGCAGTACTAAATAACAATATAATAATTATTTTGTATGTTATTTATATTTATTTCTTTGATTTTCTTACTAGATTTTAGTAGGCGACCCGGGGAGACACGGATTAACTAAAAAAAGATTATCTCAAATGACCTTACTAGCTCAATACAAAATGTCGGCCGAGAATTGTGAAGAAAACAATGGATTCACTCACACGAGTTTGTGGAGGATTAATAAATAATAAAAAATATAGAAATAAATATGAGATTATTTTAATTTTATAATAGGGAATATGCTAAGTTCACTGTAAAGACCCAAGTTGTGTGACGTCACGCAAAAGGGCGCGTAATGTGACGTTTCAACCGCCAAAATTTATTCAATGTTTTAAAAAAATATCTAGAGAAATTGAAGTCTATTTATATTTTTTTATCTTATAAAGTACTAAACTATATATTAAGACAAAAAACATGAGTATCCCTTTTTCCAATCAACATTGTCTCGGCTTATTAATTATTAGAAGAATCTTACTTTTAATTAATACATGGTACTCTATGTTTAAAACATATAAAAGAATCCATCTTTGTCCCAGTGACCTTACCATAAGTGTGAATTATCAAACACTGTAGAGACAGTTTATCATACATTGATACTTTATGTTTTGTGAATGCGTCCTTCTCCTAAGAAAACTGTTCAATGTATTGTAAATATTCGAACATGCTTTTAGTAAGAAGGATTTTATAAAGGCGATAGTTATCATTGAGTCTTCCTTTCCACAAAAAACCAATAAGATATATTTTGTAGCATAATTGACTACTATGTAATTTCAATTTCAAGATTTTTTTTCATGTATACTTCATTGACTTCAGAGCGAGTTTAGAGCCCACTCATTGGTTTCAGATGACTTAAAAGTTGGTACTGATGTTTAAATTACTGTATGTAATTTTTTTTATATAATTATACAATATAAAAATGTCTACAATGTAACACAATGTAATACAAATGTTTATTAAAATCCTTTGGATAATGTTTTGTACTTGCTCGTTGAGGTTTATAAGCACTACTGAATAAAACATAAAGAAATTATGAAATAAAAAAAACTAAAATCACAAATCAAATAATAATTTTATTTAAATTATTCAATATTAATATCGATATTACAAGTTCAAGGCACAAGTTACATCGTTGTACAATCGGTTCCCTAACGTACACTATTTCTATACTTACAAACATTTTATTTTATTTACAATACATTTTAAATTCATATTTCTTATAATACACTCATTAAATATATTTATCAGTGAAAGTTAGAATCATACAATATATTTTATTACTATATTTTTAGTTTCTTAACAACTAACAATAATATGATATTAAATTCAAATATGTTTGAAAAATATGTAATGTCTATACAGAAAAATGTACATTATTGTTAAATATGAGTAAGTTTAAATTTAATTTTTGCTTACACCGCCATCTAGCGGAAACTGTCGGATTTTGTTATTGAAACTGAACTTTAAATACACTGCCATCTATCGGTTATGTATTGACACATATCATAGCGTCATCTAGCGGTCATTACTGTAAACTGTTCATCATAGCTGAGAAACTGAACTTAAATAGTACACTGTCATCTATCGGTTATATAGACATTTATGTTAAACAGCGCCATCTAGCGATCTGAATCGTAAACTGGTCATCATAGCTGATAATTGTGCATAGTATTCGCATATAATCCATGCTTGGAGCGAGCTGTTCGCCCTGAATAGTGTGAGTATGTGTCCATATCCATGGGAGCGTGAGGATGCATCAATAATACCGGCTGTAGGGCCAGGGACTTACGGGAACCGGAGACAGAGGTCGCATCTGTGACGTACGCGTTGTTGACTTCACCTGAAACATTATGTTCAAAGAAATATGAGAAATGATACAATAATTAGTATTACGACGTTATATAATACAATATATTTGCCATTGGAGGGTTTAAAGAGACATTTGATATGAAATAATTCGTATAACAGGATTTTTCGCGGCAATATGTCTTTATATCGTTTTATTAACTGTAATTTATAAATACCAAGCTGGTTTTAATCTTGTTACCTTCACTTCTGATAGTAAAAATATAATATTAAAAGTTAATTTTCTTTGCAATTACACTTTATTTCATTTTATTATTCTACCTAACTTATTAATTAACATTTTTGTGTAAAGCGTCATCTAGTGATAAATATTTCAAGTATAAATACATTTTCTTACGTCAATCATATTCTATACAACAAAATACTTCTAAACAATATTCTAAGTGTAATAACTTAAAGTATTCTCTTTACTAGTATAATATAGTAACATAAACGTTACCCTAGTTAAGTACTGACGGACAAAACAAACAATAGAGATTCTCGAACAGGATGCAAGTGTAAAATGATCTTTAAGGCATTTGACACCCGCCTGGCAGAGAAACCTTGTAAATAGTGCATTTATTGTTCAACTTTATATATATGGGCATAAGGTTTATTATTATATAATATGTAATCTTGTGAAGTGTAAGCGGTACAAAGTTTGTTCTTGACATTAATAAAGTAATACATTCTTTTCTATTAATATTTATTTCATACTAGCTGACCCGACAGACTGTACTGCCTCAATCGATAAATAAATATTTTTTTATTTATTTTTTTGGAGTTTACCTATAAGCCATAAATCTCCGTGTTTTGAAGTGCGACAGAATGATTGACTTATTAGTTAGTTGTCAAATCTAATGTCAAAAAAAAAACGTTTTACGTTTGTATGAGAAATAAAAAAGCGCTGTTTTTAGGGTTTTCCCGGAAATGAATCAATTTTTTTCAGCTTTTAAACCTTCCCTGAACCCCCACGAACATTTCAAGACTATGATAAGATAAATCCGTTCAGTCGTTCTCGAGTTTTAGTGAGACTAACGAACAGCAATTCATTTTTATATATATAGATATATGTATTTTTTTATCATATCCTTTAATAAATTCCTCGTAATAAACATAATGTATGTATATGAGTGTTTTAATGTTTTTCGGTCTAATTACCAATGTCAGAAGTGAACGCGTCACGGAATGTGAATTTGAAACCGATGGCTGATGGTTCACTAATTGACTTAAAATATACACAAATATATGTTACATATACTATTAACATAATATTAGAACATTTGTTGAAAAAAAATAGTTTTACGAACTTACGTAAAGTTTATGAATCAAAGGTTTTTCGGATAATACTAGGCGTAATTAATAATTGTAAAATACATACTCCGGGACTTTTCGATTACTTTTCAGCAATCATGATCACGGGCAGACGGGATATATTCCCATAGATTTTAAAACATAAATTATATCCGAAAAATATTAGATTCATTTAAATGAATACTCGCGATAGTCTGAAAAATTACTACGTAAAAGTTAATGTAAAATGTGTGAATACTTTTCTTACTCAAATTTTAAAGTAGATTATTTTAAAATACATGTTTTTAATATCAGCTTTGAAGAGTTTTATTTAAAAAATAATTTTAAAGTAATAATATTTTTTGATAACTTTCTTCGTAGTAATTTCTGTATTTTGTATTATTGAACTATAAATATTAATAAGAAACTAAACATAATCAAAGTAAGTAGTTGCAATGATTTATTTTAAATATTATTTAATTAAGACGAAGTTAAGACAGTTACATTCACTAATTACAACATCAAAAAACTATACTCATTTAATTTGTAGGGCTATAATAATGTTTATTGTTTAAATTTTCTTACGAGAAAAGATAGTGTTGTACGATATCCAATATCGATAGTTTCGATATAAACAAACACACATATGACATACCTTTATACATAGAATTTTGAGGGTAGGCGGTGAGTGCCACATGCCTCGTGGCCAACACGAATGCCAGCGCGGCCAGAACAAGGCCATCGAGAGCTGCCAAAGCTGCCAGTAAGCTAGCCCAGCGTATGTGGCATCCACCTAGCGAGTATTGAGATGATGGTCCACATGTCTCTTGAACTACAGCCTCTTCCCAGCCAAGAGGATATACGGCGACGCCCGCGATCATACAGAATGCTGTGAGGAAAACATTTAATTGTTATACAGGGTGAATTACTATCGATACTTGAGGACGTGATATTTGACGATCATATATGACAAAATAAAAATTAATATAACATAAATATTAATAAACTTTTAAGTAAAGTTAACCAAAAGTTATGTAATTAATTACGCATCGTATGAACACCCTACAGATTAGGTATTAGGTACACACACACATACGCGCGCGGCGGCGTGTTGTTGTATCAGCACGCCGCCGCACGCGTCCACACTTGGAACAATTGGAACGTGTCAACACTTTATTTATTTATACGGAAATTTGGTCAAAAATTAAGTACCTATTTTTTTTACATAATTCGAATGAAAATCATGTACCGAGTATTCTCCTTAAATATTGATAGTAATTCACCAGTCACCCTGTATATTCTTTAAATGAAACTAATATTTTCGGATTTTAGTTCTAATATTTTCAGACACATCTCGTGTGCCCGTGATCACGTATGCTGAAAAGCAACCAAAACGTCGGGAGTATCTAGTTTATAATAAAAAAATAAAACGCGAAGTAAAATCCGAAAATATTAGTTTCATTTAAATGAGTACTCGCGAATATCTTAGTACTCATTATGTTATATATCCTACTAATATTATAATTGCGAAAGTTTGTGAGTGTGTATGTTTGTTACTTCTTCACGCTCAAACGGCTGAACCGATTTTTATAAAATTTTGTATACAGCAAGCTGACGTCCAGGAATAACACATAGGCACACTTTACATCCCGGAAATCCGCGGGTAACAAAACGGGTCGCCTGCAAAAGCTAGCACATAGATATCAAGGAAAGTCTTGTTAGTTTCACTATTTATAACTCAAGAACAACTGTAGGTATATGGTTGGAAATTGGTGGAGAGATAGATTAGAACAAGGAGACGGACATAGGATATTTAATGCTGATCGATTACAAAAAAGATTATGCCTCTAGGGCGGAATAGAGTACGCCCGGTCAGGTACACATATACAGGGTGACTGGTGAATTACTATCAATATTTAAGGAGAGTAATCGGTACATGATTCTCATTCGAATTATGTAAAAAAAATAGGTACTTAATTTTTGACCAAATTTCCGTATAAATAAATAAAGTGTAGACACGTTCCAAGTGTTCCAAGTGTGGACGCGTTTGGCGGCGTGGTGTTGTATCAGCACGCCGCCACACGCGTGTGTGTGTGTGTGTGTATACCTAATCTGTAGGGTGTTCACACGATGCGTAATTAATTACATAACTTTTGGTTAACTTTACTTAGAAGTTTATTAATATTTATGTTATATTAATTTTTATTTTGTCATATATGATCGTCAAATATCACGTCCTCAAGTATCGATAGTAATTCACCAGTCACCCTGTATATCACATATTATTTCGAAATTAACGCGGACGAAGTCGCGAGTAAAAGCTAGTCAAATATTAAACTAGTTTCTATCCGCGACTACATCCGTTTAGTCGTTTATACAGACATCGTTCTTGAGAAGCTAAGTAAGTACTCAATAGAGTAACACATTACACAATGTTCATGATATAGAAATATTAAAAGTAGCTACATGTAAAGGGAAGAAAACAGAATAGGTACAACTCCCTATGTAATTTTCCTCTACCTGGTAATTTCCCAGCTTTAGCCAGGGTCTGCTTTATATGTTGTAAATAGTTTTGGCTATTTATTTTTACGACCGGCCCGCTTGCCTGAAATCAACCCTCTTTGGGAATGCATTAATCAGTGATGTCTAAATACTCTTAGAAAGTACATATGACTCGGAAAAATCACATTGGTACTTGCCAGGATCGAACCCGCGACCTCATGCGTGAGAGGCGGGCCCTTTAACCACTAGGCCACCACTGACTGAAAACTTCCTATGGAGTATATAATAGTATCGTGGTTGAAAAACGTCGTTACTTTCAGTATATAAATAAACACTGTAGATTCATAGTAAGTTCTAAACTAACTTTCACATAAATTAAATATACTTCCCAACATAAAATAGTTAAACCTTCAAAGAGAAAACTCAATATTAGTAACGCTTTCTTTCGATGCGATATTTATTACGCATTAAAAATAACATTAAATTAATGTTATACGGAAAACTCATTAGTTATTGATTAATATTATTTTATACTAGTTTTTGCACGCGACTTCGTCTGTTTTAGTTTCAGAGTAAGAAGTGTATAGCTGACCTGGCGAGTTATAATCCTATTTCAAGACAGTAGATAAGAAGATTTTCTTTTTAAATCGCGTGAAAAGTATTCTATGTCCGTCTCCTTGTTCTAATCTATCTCTCCACCAATTTTCATCAATATCAACAAAGCCGTTCCTGAGTTATAAATAGTGCTACTAACACGACTTTCTTTTATATATAAAGATTTATATAAAACGGAACAAAACTTTTTCTATTGATTGTTATAATTAATACTTGGATATTTTATTAAGAAAATACGGAATATTATATTACATAAAAAAATGTGTCTATCATTAAAGAAATTTATTTTCAATCGTATCAAAAATTTCTAAAACATATCTAATACAGATATTATGACAAGGAAAGTCTGTGTATAACATATGTATTATTTTTATAGTTAAAGAACGATCTAAATTTTAGCTTTCATTTTAGTATAGATTAATAGGGACGTAACTAGTTGAAACCCGCTACTTTGTCTACGTTGTTGTTACCATAACAAAGTGTGAAAACACATTATTGTACTGCTAGTTTTTATTAAAATACAAATTTCTTAAAAATATATATATATCTTTATTTTTGTTAAGGTAATTGATTAGTATATAAGAAAATCATTATAATTTTAATTAAAATGTAACCCGTATGTACTTTTTCTAATTTAATTATATATTTAGTTAAAAATTATCCATCAATTTATTGCCAAAATTTTAGTATCATTGTCAATAATTATTTTTTTCTTAAGATTAAGATAATGTTTTCAATGACATGATAATTATTTTGTCTTTACAAGAGGGTTCAGTCTATTGTTTACGCTGCGAAACTTCCTTTATTGTATGTATATAATATACTAGCTATCCACCCCGGTTTCACATGTGAATTGAACAAATATTTTAATACTTATCATTTTTACACATTCATACACTCTCCCATACGTACATAAGAATATGTTATCGTTTTTGTGTGGGATTGTTAAAACAGAGTTAAATGTATATTTTTATTTTATTATTATTATTTGATAAGGATTAATTTAAAAGCATAAATAAAGAGCTTTTATAGAAGTGTCATTTAGACGTTTTTTTTTAATAAAAAATCATTTATTATAACATACCTATAATTATATGTATAATAGTAAGTCATATTCTTTCGTGATATTTTGTAGATAATTAAATGTTCAACAAAGTCGTAGTACATTATTTTGTTCTAAATCAATGTTTTTTTCAGCACACGTGATGTAAGAAATAATTTTAGTAATTTTTTCTCACTTTGGGTTAAATTATTTGAGTTTTAGTATGGATTCCTGAAATTTGTTGAAAGTTTAATATAATGTATTTTAAAAAGAGATAAATAACAAACAAAAAACAATCAAATATTTCCTTCTTAAAATATTAGTTTACACAACAATGAAGCATAAATATTTTTAAACACTAATGATTAATATACGAATTTTGATATGAACAATAACTTCCTATTATAAAACATAACATTATAATTTAGTGTTATTTTATATTTCCTAGTTTCGATTTTGTACTTTATTTTTTAAAAGCAACGTTAATTGCATAACATTAGATTGGATAACAGTAAAAGTGTGGTTGAATCCGTTATACAGTTTCGGTTGTGGAACAAATTATTCAATGATTTTATACAGATTTTAGTTTAAATTATCGGTTTTGTATAATTTGTGGAATGTTCTTTGACGATGGTGTCATGTGACCGTGTGGCCTAATGGATAAGGCGTCGGACTTCGGATCCGAAGATTGCAGGTTCGAGTCCTGTCACGGTCGATGAATACTTTTTGGAATTTTTTTTGAAGTGAGCCTAGCTGTGGTTAAGTTACTACAGCTCGAACATAGACTGACTCGACTGGTGAAGTACCACCCTCTCACAGAAGATCAGCGTGAAGTAGTCTTTAATGGCTTCGTTTCGTCCGATGAGTGAGAGAGACGGTTGCTCTTTTCCTGTTCCCACCCTTTCTTACCATTTCCTTTTTCCCACCCTTCCCTCTTCCTAAACAACGCATCCGTAACAGATGTCCATGGGCTACTGTAACTACTTTTCATCAAGTAGGCCGTATGCCATCTTTCCCTTTAAAATACTAACATCGAACAAAGGAAACGAAATATATAGGTATATTTACTGACATGTATGTCTAACTGTTTTTTAGGACAGGTCTGTTTGTTAGGCATCCCTACTAATACTATAAATGCGAAAGTAACTCTGTCTGTTACGCTGTCACGCCTAAACCACTGAACTGATTTTAATGAAATTTGGTACAGCCTACAGGTATGGAGTTGACCTTGAGAAAGAACATAGGATAGTTTTTATCCCAGACTTTCGAAAGGTTCTCTTGGAAACGCGATATAACCGAACTCCACGCGGGCGAAGCTAGTATATAATAATAATTAATAAACTAAATATTTGATCATTGATACTATTGCAAAACAAAGCATAAGTACCTAATATGGAAATAGGTAAGCATCAAAGGATTTATGGCGTTGTTTAGAGAAAGATGATGTCCAAATAAATATCAAATTTCTTAAATAAAACATATATTTGTCTTGAAAGTAATAGACAAATCATTCACTATTAGTGTCGAAATAGAAAAATGTGAATGTGAGTGGTGAGGTACATTTGACCTCAATATGACTGTAGTTTAATGTTTATACTTTTAACATTAAATGATGTTCGTATATTACAAATCCGAGTTACGAGTTATATTATGTATACAGTATGTTTCGAGTAACTCACTTAAGGCAGGTGTATACTGAGAGAAACTGGTTGGAAGTTTTTTGTTGAACATTAATAGCGGAATATGTAGACTCGCGTGAGTTAAGTGGTTAGTATGAACGATAATACACTAGCTTTGGCCCGCGACTTCGTTTTAGGAATTGCTTACAAGTAAAAATTAAATGCCTAAAACAGATATGTTAGTTATAACTTAGTTTAGCTGTTTTTCTAAATAAATGAATGATTTTTGCATGAATAGCAGCTTAGTTGTGCTATATTTATTGCAAAAGTTTCTTTAAAATCAATTCAAAACGCTACAAAGTTCTGCTTTAAATTTATCGTTAGTAGAACACATCATAACTTTGTTCAAAGTGTTTTGTCTTATACTTGGGTCAGTGTTATTTCTTATTTTCTAAAACTCCATACTTATGTAACTATTTCGTGTGTGTGAAGCGTTAACCTACATCTCAGTACACGACTGTAACATTTGTAACTTAGCGAAGTACTTAGCAACACGTATTAAAGAATACATCACGTAGCTTGAAATAACTTGTGGATCAAATCTTTATGTGGAATGTTATTTGAAGTTTTAACACCATGACCGTGTGGCCTAATGGATAAGGCGTCGGACTTCGGATCCGAAGATTGCAGGTTCGAGTCCTGTCACGGTCGATGAACACACTTTTTGGGAATCCTTAATATGTACTAGGTTTTATAATAAAAACAATTTAATGTTAGTTTAGTTCCTGATTGATTAAAATGACATCTTATGGTATACATATCGTATAATTTAGGAAGTATTGTTCAAGAAAAAGTTTCAGATTTGTTTTTGAATGTTCGGAGTTCCTACAAAGTCCTACCAAATGGCTAAAGCCAGTAGTTATAGTTTTCGAATAGAATTAATACTTAAATGTTGATATTACAAAGTTATAATGGTCCAGTGCTATAATTCATTACAATCCCTACTTATATTATAAATGCGAAAGTAACTCTGTCTGTCTGTCTGGTACGCTTTCACGTTTAAACCACTGAACTGATTTTAATGAAATTTGGCACAGACATAGAGTTGACCTTGAGAAAGAACATAGGATAGTTTTTATCCCAGACTCTTGAAAGGTTCTCTTGGAAACGCGATATAACCGAACTCCACGCGGGCGGAAAGCCAGTCAGTCATAAAAATAATTCGAAGGATTACAGTACATTATAATTAGTATAGCAAGCGGGCGCCTTTTAGTAGTATACTACTTAATATATAAAATGTGCTAATATTTTTCTTAACTTTGTTATATCTTAGAGATGTTATCTCAGTAACATTGTAAGATGTGGATGTGTAATCCTAAAACGTGTTGTAACTGCGTCTGTTAACATGTAGTTTAATGTTTGTAGGTAGTGTATTTTCTTTGTATAAATAATAAATAACTTGATTCCTTTATAATCTTCTCCATGTGAGAAGAGGCTTTAGATAAGGAGTGGGCTCTGATAGAATGATGATGATTCATAGTATAAAGCAAAATATATTAATTTAAACCGCAAGATTACAAGTATTAAACTAATACTTAGATTTATTTAATCAATATATTTCGGATATTCGTATTATAAGACAATTTTTATCTCAAAAATTATATACTTTGAGTTACGTATTCTTCTTTTGTTTTTAATCATTATAATATGCGACACCGTAATTCTTTTTTTCAGTTAGCGAGCTCGTTACAAATACGTGATAGTTTTAATAATAAGGCTTTTTAAATATTATTGGAAATTTTATCTGCATTGTTCATTACAAATATGTATGAGATCGTGCTCTTGCTGGCTTTTCAAACAATTTTGAACAGATTAGTGTAAGTGTTGGTCATATAATTATTTAGGTAAAATACTGACCACATAATATACTACTACAAGAAAGCGGTTTAAGTTACAATTTTCTTGTCTTATTATTAGTCTGTATTCGGTAAGAATTTTAATGAATGAATGCATTGTTTTTCCTTAACTAAATGTAGACAATATGGAAAAGTAAATTAAAACTTTCCGAGCAAGTTTTGTTCACAATGACACGGACTACAAATTACAATTGAAAAAGTTAAAACTAACATTGTAAAAGATTGTGATATTTATTATAATATAACCGAAACGGTCAGAAAAGTACAGATGCTTAAATAGACAATTTTAGTCACCAAAAACATCAGACAATCAGATTTGAAAAACCAAGTTCTTTTAAGCTTCAGCGAATTCTTCGGGTGTTGGCATGTGTGCTCGAACTCGAGCACATCTGTCTTTGTCAATATTCAGGCTTTTCCTCTTACAGGCGATGTCTTTTTCCAACTCCCCTCTGTATTTCTTAAGCTCTGACAGCACGGTCGCCGCTTGTCTCATCTTGTCATTCAATGATTCTGCTGTCTCCTTTATAAACTTGGCCTCCGCTATTAAGGCGTATTGCGCCTCATCCCTGCAATTCTCAACGCTAGTCCGATCATAGTTTCTAGCGAATAATCTTGTCATAACACATTTGTTTTGTTCCTCGACTTTCCGTAATGATTCTTTCAAGTAGTCTATGAGATTTTCTATGTCAGCAATTTTCTGTAGGTTGTCTTTTAGGTTTTCTTCTAGTTTATCGCACAGAGCCTCTGTAGCTTCGACCGTTTCGGCTAATGCTGCGTTTGTTCTATCAGCCTGTAGTTTCATGTCCTGGCTACCTTTTAGTATGGTCGTCATCAGGTCCCCACGTAACTGAACGGATTGCTTCCTAACTTCCTCGCAGTTTCTGATGCTCTCAGCACAATAATGTTCCCAATATTCCAGGGTAGTGGCATTCTCTGGCCACCTGGCGACACCAGGATGGTAGAGGATGAGGTTTGATTGAGGACTGAGTGTTGAGATGTTCCTGTCAACTTTCAAGCTAACCATTTTGTCGCTCCAATCGAATTCTATGCTGCTTTTTGCAGCTTTATTCTTTGCCATTTGCTCCTCGACTTTAGCGAGAGTATTCATGAACACTCTCCTTATTTCTCCGACAATCGCGACCTCTTTGATAAGTTCCTGCTCTGCGTCATCTCTGACCAAATCAGGTTCGTACCTATTCGTTCTCAGTTCCAAACACTCCCTGGATATAGCTTCCGGCATCATTAATATCCTGCAGGCTCCTTTTAGTTTCGCTCGATCATTGTCGAGAGTATTTATCTCTTCAGTCATAGCGTCGAGAGTTTTTTCGACTTCTTTCTTCCATTTAGATAAGTCTTTGATTCTTTTATGCAATTTTTTATTAGAGTCCTCCAACTTTATGTTCAGGTTTTGGAAGGCGTTGTCTATATCTTGTTTTGTTTGTGCTTCTAATGCTTTAGCTTTGTCTGTCGCGCGAGGGGTCAAAGTATACAGGTTGTTCTTCCTCCATTCTCCTGTTGAGTATCTTGTTATAGAATATTTGTCGACCACAGGTCTGACTCCCGTGCATCCCGCTTGAGGCGTCCAGTCTAAATGACCTGTAGCCCATGGTCCGATGGGACCCATGCCAAGGATGTCCCCACTAGTACTATCTGTAGGCTGTGGCAGATACCTAGGCGGAGCTCCGGGCGGATAAACTTTTGGTTCAGGTGGGTTTATCATACCCGGCACGTAAGGTGCCGCGTGTATATTTTCTCTCTTTATAGATTGCTCCATCTCGATTTTGGCAGAATCTTGAGGTTGATCCGTCTTGGGACATATGTGGGGACAAGAAAATTTGTCATCGTATGGTTCCATTATTGATGAATTTATAAACTAATTATAAATAAAATTATGTATACAATAAATCTAAAATTATATATAAAATGACGTATGTCATTTTTTATTAACTATGTGATAATGGCCAGTGAGAAAGTAGTTTAAATATATTAAAATATAAATTTCTAATATTATATAAAATATTTAAAATTCAATATAAATAATATTATGCTCGTTATAAAAGTATAGATATTACGGATTCTTATGCAACTGGTTAGTAAAATTATGATGCAAATCTATACCAAATAATCCTTGCACTTTCGAAATTGATCAATTTAATAAAACTTAAAAAACATAGAAGGTAAATTTTAAAAAAAATTTATAATATCTTTTTTTAATTATATGCTATATGTAGCTTCATTCGATTTAAATATCTTGTTTAAACATAAATGGTAATGTCGTCAGGTGACTTTTGGTTACATATAAAAAGTACAAATCAATCGTCATGACAAAGAAATCAAAACATTTTAAATCTGACAAATTAAAAATTATGTTACAATTACGTACAGAAATATCTTAGACCTTTAATTTGGTTGGTTGTTTTAAATATAGCCTTCATCTGTGCAAAAACGTGCACAGTATATTCCGTCAGTGTCGTTTAGAGACCTTTAATTTAATTACACGTAAAATTTGCTACATTTGTGATTTTAAAATGCGTTTAGAATATTTGTGTTTTTTATTTAGTCCCAGAGAAATCTGCCAAATACTTATATATCTGCGACTGTCCTGTATTTTTAATTTAGTCACAAAAAATTGCTAAATTAATGTGAGTTTAAATTGCGTTTAGAATATTTGTTTTTTTAATTTAGTCCCAAAGAAATCTACCAAATACTTATATATTATTTAAATCTGCGTGCAAATACTACGTTTCAGCTATGGAGCACAATGAAATCATCAAAACATTACTTCTTGTAGCAAAACGTTATCAGTTCCCACCTTATCACAACATCTCCATACAATAGTAACAGTTATAAGGTCAGTTACTGTTTCACGGTTCTCAACTTCGTGGGAAGACAATTTGATGTGTTCCGTAATCAACGGGACCAAATTATGGGGTTATTAAGAACTTCAATAATAATAAACAAAGAAAAACGCAAAAAAAGCAAAATGAAGCTATATTTTGTAGAAAAATTCAAAGAAGAAGAATAAAATTATCATTAGAATGATCTTGCACGTAACTTTTGATCAGCATAAGAATCGACTTCTTTTAAAGTAGCTAGTTGTTGCGTCACGAAGTAACTATATCATTACATCCATGTAAGGTGTCATTATGGCATGAAATTCTTCATAATACCATCGTCTCAATTTAAACTTACGCAACTTACGACAATAAATAGTGAAAGGTTTACAACAATGACGTACAGATTTCACTCGGATAAATTAAATAGCGATAAATTAGAAAAGTCAGCGAGATCGTCAAATTTTGTAGCAATGTTTTATATTAAGACTTTACAGTGAGAAAAATTTGATGACAAATAAAGAAGAGTATAATTATCAAAGAGGGACATAATATAAAAGATTCTTCTTAATAACCAGCTAATTCTGATGCTGACGGATAATGAGAACGAACCATACCACATCTGTCACGATCTATGTTTAAAGTCTTCCTCTTAGACGCTATATCCTTCTCTAGAACTATTCTCTTCTTCAATAGATCAGTTCTAACTCTTTCTGCGTTATTTAGCTGCCCAAGTAAGGAAGTCACAGTTTCGTGAATCTTCTTAACTTCTTCGATAAGACCCAAATGAGGCTGGTCCCTCACACTTTCCCCATGAGGACGCCAATTGTTCCTATTATCTAACCTGGTTTGAGCTAGTTTCATTGCTGCGTCCATTTTCTTTATGGAATCCTTTAAATTTTCAATCAGTGATTCCATATCAGCTATTCTTTGTAGCGTATTTCTTAATGTTTCCTCTAGTTTGGTGCATAACTCCTGGGTTATAGCTACAGTTTCAGCCAGAGCCATGTCAGTTCTGTCAGCTTGATTGCGAAGTTTTCTTCCGCCGTTCACCAAAATCGCGTTTAGACTTCCTCGTAAATCAGCAGATTTCTGTCGAGCAGCTTCACAGTTTTGTACGTTTTCTCTACAAAAGTACTCCCAATATTCTAATGGAGCTGTGTATTCGCCAAACCTGGTCGCACCAGGCCTAAACATGATAGTATTGGATTTAGTATCGAGACCTAAGTTGGTCGCTTCGGTATTATACGCCATAGTTTTGTCACACCAGTCGTATTCAATCCGATGTTTTGCTGCCTTGTTAATTGCCATCTGCTTTTCTATTTCGTCGAGAGTGTTCTTTAGAGTCGCTCGTACTTCGCTCACCAAATTCATTTCTTTGATTAATTCCTTTTCAGCTAAATCAGCGACTAAATCAGGTTGAAATCTATTAGAGCGTAGATCTAAACATTCTTTGGATATAGATTCAGGTAACATGAGTACTTTTGAAGCTCCTTTTAACCTCTGTCTCTCTATTTCGAGCAGTTCAACTTCGTCTGTAATGGCTTTACATGCTTTCTCAACCTCAACTTTCCATCTGAATATATCCCTTGCCTTCTGCCGCAGTCTTTTAAAGTTCTCGCTCTGTTGTTTATCAATGTTACCGAATGCTTGCATCATGGATGTTTTGGCATTGTATTCTACTATGTTCGATTCGACAATAATTTCAGGGTCAAGGACCTTTTGGTTGTGGTTCCTCCATTCGCTAAGTGAATATCTACTGATGCTGTATTTGTTAACTCCAGGTCTTGTTCCAGTCATATCTCCGAGTGGAGTCCAGTCTACATTACCATCAGGGCCTGGCTTTAAGTTTGGCAGATATTCCTCACCAGATTGTTCATGTATTACCGGTTCTGTTTCTTTTTCGGGAGGTGTTAGAGCTTTTTCCTCAGAAGCTTTTTGTGTTTTAGCTTCGTCAGCAGCTTTTATTTCCTCTTTAACTTGCTCCGGGCTTTTGGCAGCTTTCTTGAAAGCCCCAATATCCGTACATACCTTCGGACATCTATCAGCTTCGGGAAATGAAGTCATTGTGTACTATTTCTTAATAATAATAACAATAAAATAATAAAAATACGTAAATAAAAATTAATTTTAAACTGTCAACAAATACAATGACAATAAGTCAAAAGACGACATTATTTTTAAATCAAATCAATCAAATAAAATAGGTCATACATTTAAAACATATTTCATACATCTCTACTAAAATTATATATGCGAAAGTAACTCTATCTGTCTGTCTGTGACGCTTTCACGCCTAAACCACTGAACTGATTTTAATGAAATTTGGTACAGAGATGGCGTTGACCTCGAGAAAGAACATAGTATAGTTTTTATCCCAGACTTTTGAAAGGTTCTCTTGGAAACGCGATATAACCGAACTCCACGCAGGCGAAGCTGCGGGCGGAAAGCTAGTATATTATATTTGTTAATGATTTAGAAACTTCAAAGTTTCGTTTTCAACATGATAATTTTCATATAACTAATGTATGGCATTAATTACCTTCTAGCTGGTGAAAACTAACAATTTAGTATTCCGTTTGGATCCAGTTTTTGTTCAAACGAGATGTATTAGCAACGTTTTACAACTTTCTATGACTGAGTCAGTTTACAAGCAACATGACGAATGAAACATCCCGTTCATTACCACTAATAACTATATGTAATATATTAGGTATATACTATCTATACATATAATAAAATTGTAGAAAAGTGCTGTCTGTACATTGAAAATAAAAATAAAAAAAATAGCAGGGGTTATTGTTATGTCGATGTCGAACCCAAAAATGTAATTAACTTTTTTTTTTCTCTGTTTGTCTGTTCACACTAATCTCAGAAACGGCTTATCCGAGTTGGATGCGGTTTTCACTAATATATTGTGGTATGCTTCAGTTATGCTTTAGTGTTTGTTTCATGTCAATCGGTTCATAAATAAAAAAGTTATGTCAAAAAAACGCTGCTCATAGTCACTATTCCACGCGGACGAAGTCGCGGGCACAGCTAGTATGTAATATATTATATACTATTTAAAAATATAAGTCGTGGCAAATAATTATATAGTTATGTTACAAATTGTGTTAGTAGTTTTAAGTGGACGGAGTCTTGAATTTTAAGTTACTTTACATTGTCTCTGCTTCAATAAAATATAATAATTTTTAAGTTTTTCCTAAATTATTAACTTTTCTATCTATATGTTTCGTCTACCCGTGATCACGGTTGTTGTAAAGTATCCGAAACGTCGGGAGTATATAGTTTTTTAACGTAATTCGTAAATATTAGTTTCATTTAAGTGAATACTCGCGAAAATTAATGTTTATATTATTTCATATAAACGACACTTTTTAATAGTTGCACATATAAGAAATTACCTTTTTTTATCATATAGGTCTAACACATTATCTTTTCATATCTTTTTAATATCAAAAGGCTACATCCAAATATATTTTTTATGTTTACCTTTATATAAAAAAGAACTAAATATTTTAACCACATTTAAATTTCTTACTGTGTAAACTCTAATATATATTAAAATGTATATAGTTTGAATATAAGTAAACTAATGATTTTAAACATCTTACGTACAAAGAAATAAGTATAACTGTATTTATTTAAGCATATTTTGGATGAATCATGACGACTTCTTAATTGTTTAACCAAGATTCTCAATTTTAAGGATAGTTTTAAATATAACAGTCTGTATATAATACTTATGTAGTTCGTATAGCGATCATATGATTTGGTAGGCACATGTTTTATTACATACTAGAAGACCTGGCGAACTTCGTATAGCCCTATAATCAAGAAATATCTATTACGTTTTTTTATTTATATTTTTGGAGTTTACCTATTAAAGACATAAATCTCCGTGTTCCGAAGTGCGACAGAATGATTGACATATTAGTTAGTTGTCAAATCTAATGTCAAAAAAAACGTTTGTATGGAAAATAGAAAAGTGCTGTTTTTATGGTTTTCCCAGTAGTGGATCAATTTTTTTCAGCTTTTATACCTTCCCTGAACCTAAACGAACATTTCAAGACTAAGATAAGATAAATCCGTTCAGCTGTTCTCGAGTTTTAGCGAGACTAAGGAACAGCAATCCATTTTTATATATATAGAAGATATGTACTGGATATTTGTCAGAAAGATAGTAGTATAACTTACATCGATACTACAAAGAGGATTTATGAATGAAAACTGTTAACTACCAGTATGTAGTGTGACGAAGAAGACTAGGAGTAAGCAATAAGAATACTGCTTGAAAATAACCAATAAGTTTTACATGCCACAAGAATCGACGTATATAATATCTTTGAAATAAAAATATATAAAAAATATCCAAAAATAAAGAAAAACATATTTTCAATATATATGATATTGACTACCTACATATTAGTTAATATGAGGTACTGGTTGTATGTAGGTTATATGCGCGTGCGCATTTTTTCAGAGCGGATAGCGGTCCGAGCGATGAGGTCATACAACCAGCTTACACACACACACACACACACACACACACACACACACACACACACACACACACACACACACACACACACACACACATACACTTATACAATTTTTAAAATGTCATTTGAAGCATCATCTTCCGTTAAGGTTAAAAAATTTGTTTCAAAAATATCTCCAATAACTTACGAAAACAGTCTTTTAATTAAAGCTGATTCTCAAAGAGGGTTGATGTCAGGCAGGCGGCCGGTCGTAAAGTCAAATAGGCAAAACTATTCACAACATGTAAGGCGGACCCTGGCTAAAGCTGTTAAATTGCCAGGTAGAAGAACTAACGAAAATAATCTTTGCCACGTTTAAATATAACGTTTGTTAAACACGATGCTTCCCACGTATTGATACAGGTAAAACAAATTATTTCAAACAATGCTCATAACATGAATATTTATATAACTCGCATAGTGTATCCCATTATACCGATTAGAGAATTGAACGATGCATGCATTGACAATGATTTAATTGAAACCCTATGTACGCCTTTTATTGTATTTATTTTAAACATATCAACAATTACGTAAAAACTAATTATGTTCTGCAAAATATACATTAAATGAATATAATGTTTTTAATATTTAATTTCATAATTTTATGTCATAAAGCTTAAAAAAGACTATAATATAGATATTGAAATTTTATAAAATGAATTACGCAGTAATATTACGTGCTTTAAGAATAATGAGATCTTAGTTTAAAATATTAAAAAATGTATACTAATCGCTAATATTTCATAAGTGAACCCGCCGGTCGAAACTAGTATGCATTAATATCAAAAGTCACAAATACCTGACCTATAGAAAATAGGTAAGCAATGTTGAATTCTTTCGTAAACTGCACCTGCCAACTTGCTTTTACCAATTTTAAAACTACAAATATGTTTATTAAATGGACTTATATAAATAAAACATTTATATATTAACATGTTACAAATGTTTTATATACTTTATATACATAAATATTAATTTATATTTTGTTTTTTTATGTTACGACTGCAGATACGTACCTACGTTGCCGCTTGTTTTTGTACAGGTTTATTAATGTAAACATATAAAGCATGAAAGGAAGGTCGCATACAATAATAACTTTCACTTCATTGTCGAAATATTGTCAAACTTAGCATTAAAAAATCTTTGTTCGACTTTTGTGTGGACGAATATTTATTTACTGTATAATGAAATGTATGCAACTTGGAATTTTAATGACTCATTCTACAAAAATGTTCGTAAATGTAATTTAATTGTAGTTTATGTAAATGTGATGTTATTAAGACAATTAACTAAGTGTACATCCTTAACACAACTTACCGGATATAAGCTGCAACCATCCGCAGATGTGAAATACAGTTGTTGATCGACAGAAGAAGAATAAAAGCATGGCACATATAGTAAACAAGGCCAGAGCGACCGCCGCGCCTACTAGCACCGTAGCTATTTTGAACACAAAACCATTTATCGAAGTAAAATCGTCCAATCTCCCTTTACAATCCTCAACGGAATCGTCCGTTCTACAAATTTGCCACAAACCGAATTTCCTCGGATACTCTGTTTCCAAATCGCCAATCCATTCCGGTGTCACGAATGCTACAACGCTTATAATCGCGTAACAAATTGTGAATATAGCCCAAAGCACTCCGATAGCTTTCGAATTACGCACATAATTCGTAGCGTATAAATGTGACGAATCCACGTATTCGATTTTCGAACCCATTTTGTTGTTATTAATAGCACATTTTTTGTTAAAACTGTTCTAAGTTATCTTATGTTAAGCACAACATAAACGTAAGACAGTAACTTCGGCGTGCGAGATACAACAACGAACTGAAAGTGAATACCGAACTGTGAACACAAGTCACTCAACCTCTCCCGCGCCATTCAGCTTACTATATGGAAGTGGGGATAAGTAACCATGGTGCTACTTACCTGGCCATTACAAGGAGATTAAAGAAACGACTCATAGAAACGTCATGTTTTATGAACTTGTATTAAAGCTCTCCAAGTCACCATTTAATTCGATTTCGAAAAGAATATTTTGGAAATGATAGAGGCAAAGTTTGTTTATTATGTAGTAACTAAGGCGTAAGCAAAATCTGATAATAACGTATAAAAATTCAGTAGCGACATCTATTGTTGTTTCTGAAATCAACTTATAAAGTAATTTTTCCTTAAATATTACAAATCGATCCTTTGTTTAATATGATGGATGTGTATTATACAGTCAATGTTAAGATCTGAACATAGAATAGGATTTTCAATGGTTTATTGATATATCGTAAAATTTTGTAACAAAAGTAATTCTTTAGTCATTTTTACTACAAACGCTGTTTTAAAATACGCGAATAAGCAATCATCTGGCCTTGTATGAAATGTCAACGTCATATTGACGTATAAATGCACTGCTTGTGTACAAACTACAAATATATAAACCTGTATTATTATTTATTAGCCTATTATTTCAGTCCTATTTAGTGGTTTGACATATACAATAATCTGTTTTCTTTTAAAACAATGTCCATAAAATTTGAGTTTACGTGAATTTACTTAGTTTCACTCGTTTTGTGAATCGAAATCATGTCTGTAAGAGACAAATGGGTCCGCCGGTTTTCTGTTGATGAAACGGCAAAACACAATAATGGTTTTACAATATACAAGATCACGTCTGTGGTGAGCTATCATACAAAACCTAAATAAATTGTTATTATCAAACTTATTTTACATTTGTCAGTACAAAGTTCACGAAATTTGAGTACAAGTAATTTGTGTTACGGTATCATAGACTGTTTAAAGTAGTTTATAGATCGTGTTGCACCTATTTATATTTAATAATAATTTAACTTAAATTAAATAATTAATAATTAGCTTACCTTAAATTAATGATGACTAATTCATTGTGAAACATTAAATAAATGTTATCATTACTAGACCTTATCAAGTGTTGCACCAAAGATCATTATAATTCAGCTTACATTGTACTTAATATGTTTCTAACTTGCTTAATAACTATGAAGTGATTTATATTCCATAAATCTTATTACTAATTATAGACTATTCCTTACAGTTTTGATATGGCATATGTTTATTATTTTAAAGTTTTACTGGTTATTACTATAAATCTTAAATTATAACGAACATTTTAAAAGTTTTTTAATACAAAATGCAGCTTATTCAAAGAAATATAACCAAACTAGTTATCTAAGAAATCATTTCATTTCAACTGACTCATATAAATATTATTTAAAGTACAGTTTATTTTATTTCTCAGTTATTCCCGATCGAGTCACCAGAAGCAGTGACAGTTATATCAGTATGGAAGAGATACAGTGATGTCCAACAACTTCATAAGTCAATGAAGTCGTTACACGCGGGACTTCATTTACGAGGAGTGTTCCCGAACCTCGCTCGTAATAGCTTCTTTAAGAGATTCAGTCCTGAAGTGAGTTGTTTCCTGTTATGTATTAGTTAAGCTCGTTCGGTATTGTTAAAATATTAATAGGTAATGTAGGTAGATTAGTTTATATTATTAGTTACTGTCATTCAGTTTGATACTTAGCATAATACATACATGACAAAGTTAATATAGGTTTATTGAATACTACATTTCCTATAAACATTTTTTATGTTTGTCGTTATAGATAGGCTAAGATCTCAGATCATAGAGCCTAGTCATTACTTTTATTTAATTTTGGTGATTATGGAATATGTTTAATTGTTTGAAATCAAAAGTGATTTATTACATCACACAGAAAATTTATTAAATAATACATATAATGAAATTGTGTTGAGATATATGAATTAAAAGAAGGATAATATTGTCTAAATTATATTCATATATTATACATATAAAATGGTTCAAAACAGAGTAAATTTATATTTAGAAAAATGATTATTAAATATGTATATATGTTAAATTAACAATTTTTGAAAGCATTTAAGCAAATTTTAAATAATATCTTGTATATGAAAGCTGTTATTTTATAATATTATATATTTTTAAAGTATAACTTATCAACATCATTACAATAAATTGTCTATGCTTTAACATTATTGTCTATTCCTTCCAGGTCATTGAAGAGAGAGCTAAAACAATCAAGGTTCTTCTTGAGTTTGTAGCGGAGCATAGATTATTGTTTACTAGCACTGATTTTGTTAACTTTTTACAGGTATGTATATGTTTAATATATTCTTTATGTATATATAGTTGTTAACTAAACATGATGGGTAAGTTCATTGATACTCATATGTTTAGGTTTTAGAGAATAACCCACCATACTGTCATACATTTTTTGATATTTCTTCTGAAATGATATATATGTATGTAGCAAATATTATACATGTAAAGTTAGTACTGAATACTCATGATCAAGTACATATGATTAACCACTGAAAAACAGATGGGGTGTTGTCTGTTGATATCTATGTTTGTATGTCTGTCTGTGGTATCAGAACTCTTAAACGGATAGACCGATTTCAATACAACTTTTTCTTATTCTAAATTATTTCCTTTGTGGTAGATCTTATCTATATTTGGTTATTACAAGTCTAGTATTTTAAAAGTCAGCTTTCTTTACTAACAATGTAAGGGATTTAAATGTTAAATATGTGTCAACATAATTGTTAAATGACAATTAATTAATTGATAGTTTATCAAATTTCAATAAAAGGAAGTTATGAAAAAATTTGATGCATTATATAATTTTCAAATTCTAAGAATTTTATTGTAGGATTGGAATAACAAATTTAATGGGACCTCATATGTTATCTTATATTATTCTGATTCATAGATAAAATGTTTATTAAAAAAAAATCATTGACATTTAATATATGTATACATATATGGAAATATATAGATGAATGCAACAAATATTTTTGGTCCAAAAAAACAACTTTATTGTTATACCCACATTTTAATATTTCCTTGATTCATATATAATCATGTTAATTTAGTCTTAATGATGTTTCCATGTTGTATAATTTAATTTGTTCCCATAGTTTTCAATAAATATTGTTAAGTAATTTTATATGTCACTTTTTGAATTGAATTAAGATAATGTTATAGTTATGTGACGACTGTTCGATAAGTGTAATAATTATTTCTGTTATAAAATATTTAATTATGAACATAAGAAAAAGAATATATCTTCTTCTACCTGGCAATTTCCCAGCTTTAGCCAGGGTCTGCCTTACATGTTGTGAATAGTTTTGGTTAATTGTTTTTACTACCGCCTACCTGACATCAACCCTCTTTGGGAATGCTTTAATCAGTGATGTCTAAATACTCTAAAGTATACATGACTCGGAAAAATCACATTGGTACTTGCTAGGATCGAACCAACGCCCTCGTGAAAGAGAGGCGGTCCTTTTTAACCACTAAGCAACTACTGACTAATATATATTATATATATTTCAGACTGGTTATCCTGAGCCTAAGCCTATGGGTGTTATAGACACTATAAGATCATCACTACACCTTCCTATAGAAGAAACTCCTCCATTAGAATACCAAAGTGATAATGAAAGAGGTATAAATATCATAAATATATTGTTATTAATAATTATTTATAATGATTTAAATTGTCTACTTCACAATAAGCTTAACCTGATATATTCTATTATTTATTGGGAATTCTTATGATAGTCAACTAGCGCCATAAATAATTTATATATACAGTAATTTAAATGTCCAAATACTTGACAATCGGTTTTATAATTTATAATTAGAGCCTTAGCATGTTTTATACAATGTTAAGTGTTTTATTATTTAATGGAAACTCTTATGAAGGTAACTAGCCCTCTGTATAATATTATAACCTCATCTAAATGTTACTTTTGAATATTATAAATATGATACAAATGTTAGACTGGGGTTTCTGTTATGAGTTGTGAAGTATTAAACATCTTATTGGAAGTAATGCCTAAATTATTTCTAACAATATATTAAATATTTAATTTTGTTTATATTCCAATAAGGGTATATACATATATACAATATAACCTTTTTGCATGTATCAATATTAATAGTTAATTTGACGTTAATATTCTATACCATTAATAATTAAATCATATACATGTATATTATTTCAGTTCAATCAAGTCAATCACCAGTTATTCAAAGCGATATACAAGACGTATCACAAATACCAATATACGAAGCAGCCGACGTTGAAATACGAGAATCACCAAAGAGTTTATCAAACAGTTTCGAATCGATAACCTCCTTGGAGAGTTTCGACAGTGACATTTACGATGACATTTCAAAAGTCAGCGTTGACAGCCGGGCACAGGTTAAAAAAAACCTGCCTGATCTTATTAATTTCGACGAACCGAGCTGTTCGAAATTTGAAAATTATCATAGTGTGAGGAAATATGACGCTGTCTCAATGACATCTGGTTCAAGTTCTCTGTCTCGCTCTAACACAGAATGTAAGACAAGGACGGAAGATAGCTATATTTTCGAAGCAGGCTATATGTTGAATTTGGCGGCGCGTTGCGAAGATATGAACGACTACCAAAGAGCCTTCGAATGTTACAAATCTGGTATAGAGAAGATGTTGATTGGAGTTCAGTGTGAGTATTTAATAATTACTATATAATAATTATATATTTTTATTAACTTTCCTTAATAACTATTGTTATAATTTCAAGTCGTATTAATATACATGTAAATCTAATTTAAATTCTACAATATTGTGATAAAAATAACGAATCGATATATTTTTTTCCAAAATTCACTAGTATGCCAAAAAATTTTTAAAATAATCCTTATTTATATGATACCACACACACGGATAGTAGATGTTGCTACCAGTTAAATAACAAATTCTATATTAAGTACACATCATAAATTTAATTTAACTAATCTAAGAAATAAACTTAAACAAAGTCGTGATAGAAAGCCAATATGAATTTTATTACAATATTTAATTAGCTGTAATGGAATAATTATAATAATAATAATCAATTTTTTGTTTAAGACAAACAAACAAACCAATCACAAGCACTCATTAGTGTATTGATATATATAATATATATATACAAATAAATAAATAGGAACTAATATATATAGATTATAATTAATGATACATTAAAATATCATTAGTATAGTAACTATCTATACAAGCGGTTGTTCTTATCAAATATTTTATAATATTTTTAGTTTATTAGTTGTGATGGATTTTTTATACATATTACATTATATAGAGGAATATAATAGAAAACATTGTAAGTATTACTTTCTTATTATATACTAGATTTTGGTAGTTACTTTGTCTGCCTTAATTTCGGAATTAGTAATATATGTATAACTGGAGGCCGTAAATAACCAAATATTGGAGTTTATAAGTTTTTTGTTTCAATAGAACAGTATTAAATATCCTATGTCCGTCTCCTTGTTCTAATCTATCTCTCCACCAATGTTCAATCATATCCGTACAGTCATTCTTGAATTATAGTGTAACTAACACAACATTTTTTTTTGAATATTTGTATTTCTTAAACTATCCCATCATCTATGTTTTATTGGCTGTTATTTGTTTACTTCTTGTCTATGATTTCTAATTTTGGTATTTAATTATGAATTTCGTCCCAGTTATGAAATTAAGGAATTCACTTTTGTCACTTACTATATATAACTCTTATAGAATTATATTTCATATGATTGTCAGCTATCTGGAAATACATAATTAATAATATAAATATTATATAAATAATTTTACTATGTATTGAATTTCGCAACATTAGATTTTTTGTACTATATCATAAATATACTTGCAAAGAGTAAATCTTCATGGCAATTGATTACGTCCCACGAGACAAAATAATAGTTGTAACAAAATCTATAACACTGATTTATATATTATATAAATATAATAAAAATGTATTATTTTCTTTCCCAACAAACATGTTCAAAAAACATAATATTACTTTATAATTCTTATCTTATAATATATTTTAATCAGATAACATATTAAATATTCAAGATTAAATATTTTTTATCTACACCGGCTACAATAATATTATATGTACATATATTAAATATTTATGTCAGGGACACGCGGAAATATTGTTTAATTGATCTTTGAACATTAATAAACTAAAAATAAAACATTAATATCAACGGAAGAAAATAACGAATTATGAGTTTGTGGAAAATTTTGTGTGTGTACTTTTTATAGATCTATTTAAGTATTCATTCTCAATATATGTATATATATTTTTGGGTTCGGAAGAATAAATAACTAAAAAAAAACAATTATAAACGAATTATTTAACAATTCTTACAAATATTCTAAAGTAATAGGTTTTAAGTATGATACTAATACATAATTATGATTATTACCTCACAGAATATAACAAAGTGATTATAAAATGACTCACGATACCGAATTTACAGAGTTCTGGTTGTTCACGAGCAATAGAAGGACTCGATACAAGACTATAGAAATGTATATCTTTACTAGCTGCGCCCCGCGGTGTTACCTCCGATTCTCGGGATGTAAAGTAGCCTATGTGTTATTCCTGGAAGTCAGCTTCCTGTATACAAAATTTTATCAAAATCGGTTCAGCCGTTTGATCGTGAAGAATTAACAAACATACACACACTCACAAACTTTCGCTATTATAATATTAGTAGGATTAGATGAGAGGGTATAGTGCGTTTGATTTAAGCTGAGCTTTGCATTTGTGTGAGTGTACACGGATAGTGTAGGTGAGATGTCAAATTTTTGAATGAAACGTTCTTTTCTCGATTTAAACTGGTTTTTTCTGCTTTCACTCCGACCTGCACCTTCTTCACTTCACCCTTTGTACTGGTAGCAACGTGAAGTATTGAAAATGCAATGTCAAGTGAAGAAAATTTGTATTGTTTTTTCAAAATTTTTATTACTTAATAAATTATTTTTCATTATACTATTTCCATTTGGCTTTTTACAAGTTTTGATTATTTTAGTTTTAATCTAGGATAGCTCTCGCATTTCATTATGTATCTATTTAAAATATAATAAAATTGAATTGTAATTTTTTTTTGTCTAACTCTACTTTTACTTTCACTCACACAAATGCAAAGCTCAGCTTAAGTCTAACGGACTATACTTTAATAATGCATAGAGTGGTTGCTTATAATATACATATATGTTGATTATTAATAGTAATATTAATAATATTTTCAGCGGATCCTGATTCTCATCGGAGAAATCTAATAAAGGAGAAAACCCATAAATATCTGACACACGCTGAAGAAATCTACAACAAACACCTCACTGACATAGAACACAAGGTTAGTTAGTTTTGATATTTTTTGTAACAAACCAACATATATACTACATTACAATCAGTATATAAGCATGTAATCGATACATATAATATTATTTAATTTATAAAACTATTACTAGCTCCGGTAAACCACTAGTGACCGAGATATTGGGTGATATACAATTTCATATTATGTATACACGCACGCACACACACACACACACACATAGATAGACACACACACACAAGTGACACAAGCGTGACACACACTAGATGTTTGACTACAGAGAAATCTTAACATAATTGATTTAGAATCTGCTTATATCAATAAATAATAATATAAGGAATGCTTTTAATGTTGTTTGTACAAACTCAAAAGTATTAAAAAGTCATTGACATTATTATTAATCTTATTTATCTGTCCTGGATCTATTAAATCTGACTATAAAACTAGTATATTGTTTATAAATGTTTTATTTTTGGTAATATCATCGGATCAATCACAGGATATATTATATCGTGTGCAATAAAACCAAATTTATTTGAACTCTTGCAACGATGAACTATCATGAGCGATAGAGCTCTACTTATATTGGTTATGTTTGGGGCCCGGATTAATATGTAAATACATATTTTTATTTTACGCGATTTTCGGTCTAGAATGTGTTTTTTTACATGGACTGTCATATTTAGACTGTGAAAAACTTTTATTTTCCATATTTTACAATATTCCAAAGTTTTACCATATTTTACAAGAAAATGTCACAATCATCCATATATAAACAAAAATACATAAAATTTACGTTCCCGCCACTAAAGTTTTGGATAAAAATGAATACATAAAAGGATTTAATATTTTTTTCCATATTTTTGATTTTTTCGTCCATATTTTATGTACATACATAATTATCCGGGCCCTAGTTACGTTCGTTGTGACTGTATTAATACATCTATTTCTCTCTCTCTCTCTCTCTCTCTATCTATCCGTCCCGCTCCCCCAGCCTGAGGCCCCGCCGCCTTGCCCTTCCCCTCCTCCCCTCAGCCGTCCCCCCGCGGCCCTCTCCTCATACAGGGTGCTCGCGGCGCTAGGAACGAGGGTGTTGTTAGTGTTGGACGATCATGATAGAACGTGCTATGCTATGAAGGTGAGTGAGATATATATATATTAATATGAATAATATGTTGTATATATCTTTATATATATAATTCTTCTGTGGGTGTGTATGTCACTGAACTTCTCTCAAACGACTGGATCGATTTTTATGAAATTTTTTGTATGTATTCAAGGGGATCTGGGAATGGTTTAGATTCACAATTTTGTCCGCTGGACAATGTTTTTTTAATTAATTTTTAATTTATTAGTAGTTGTTGATATAGTAGTAAATAAATATCAAGGAAACAATGATTTAGTTGGTTAGTGAGTGGTATGATATATAGTAGGTTGTCGGTTTGAAATGTGTTGATTTTATTTTAATGAGAATTCATGTAAAGCATGCCATAAGATGGATTTTTTAATATAATAATATAAACTTAAGTTTAAAGTAACTGAAACGTGGTATGTTTGATATTGAAGTTAAGAACCCTGCCAAATAACTTACAATTTGAGTTTTAATACAGATATCCTCTATATTCAATAGCCATTAATAGCTCTATGTTACTTTATATACTGATCATAACGTGTAATTTCCAGGTGATACAAAAAATACCCAACAATCTGACCGAATTCGACGAATACTTCCAACGAGGAGACGAGACTCGACAAGTGATACTACCTTCAGATGTACCGGGAGTAGTTCAACTACATTCATATATAGAAACTACTGACCTAATATTCCTCATACTTACATACACTCCCGGGGTCAAACTATTCGACTACATACGAAACCATTCGAAGTCAACCAACACACTACACAAAGAGGTCAACTTAGAAAACGTGTTCACTGACCCGATTAACAAGAACACGGGAATTAACGAAATTAACGAGTTTAACAGGATTAACGATGACGTTAACGAGAATATAAACTATGATGTATCGGTCAAAGAATTGGTGGTTAACTCGCAGAAGTTATTGATTAATGTGGATAAGGCTTTGACGGATGACGTCACGATTAGAAAAAGTGAGGAGGGGGGAGAAAATATAGTGGAGGGGGGTACGGACGGCGACACGTATAATAAGGTAATATTACTACGTACAGTCGGCAACATATAGTCTATACTCTATATTATTAGATGGTATAGTTTTATTGCAGAGATTATCTATCCATACAAAGATATATAAAGATTTCATGTGATTAATTTTAGTTAGAAAATACATTTTCCAATCAGGTATTTAGATATTTGTTTTGAACATACTAAAACTATGTCAAGTTTTCAAATGACAAAGTCGCTGATTTCAACTGGTTAATAAATTTGGTATGAAATAAATAGTATATATATAATACGTGTCTTTCTAGACTCCTCTGCCTCCCGGCGCCGTCCGTCGCTGGTGTGCGGGAGTACTAGTGGCGATACACGGACTACACACACAGGGAGTAGTGTGCAGGTACACACACACACACACACACACACAGACACACACACATCATGTATAATATTCTGTTATGGAACTCTCACACGCATGATATCTGTCTCTTTACATTTCCGTGTAACTCTCTATGCCTCATGAACTCCTGGTACTTCAGATACACACACTGTATGGGAACAAAAAATACACACACACATACACACACACACACACATATATATATATATATTTATATATATATATTTCAAGTGACTATGACTCATTTTATTGTTTGTTTTATACATATTACTTATCTCCTATGTTAGTATAATAAATTAATTAAATAAAAATAAAAAACTATCACTACCTTGTAATCATGGTATGTAGTAATTGCTGAACTAATCCGCTCGAAATAGCACAGCAATGAATAACAAGCAAGCAAGCAATATAGAGAGAGACACCTACATACGCAACGCACACACACACATACATACAGAGAGGCACATACTATCAAAAGCTAGTCTATTATTATGATTAACATGATCGTTATAATACAAAGCGTCCTTGTAACTTATGTAACTTGTATTCATTGATAAGAAAAATTTACGTATGTCATGCCGTATATTAATAATATTCTTATTATTACTACAGCATTATTTTACACTATTTTATCCAGACATATAAATCAATAGAATCCTCAAAAATAACCATACTACTACACTGATAATAATTTCTGTATCTGTTAGCTTTACTTGAACTATACACAGGAAAACTTAATAAAATACCATACTTATTACATACAAAATAAAGTCCACTTTCACTTACCAACTACCCTCCACGTCATTAACATATGTGTGACGTCACAGGGACCTCTCCCCCTCCAACGTGCTGCTCTCCAGCGGCGGGCGCGTGTCTCTAACATACTTCCCCGGCTACGACTCAGCGACCTTCCAGTCCAAGCTACACTCTGTCCCCCGGAGTCGCTCGTTGTACTTAGCTCCTGAACTAACCGCAAGGGTCCCGTGTGATGATAACCATCTCTGTGATTATTGGAGCTTGGGAGCTATTATGTATTACCTCATATGCGGATTTGTGAGTATTTTATTTTTGTTAACAGCGCCATCTATGATTTGTTTGTGGAACTGTTTCAGTCTTGCATTTAATGTATGTGTTTTGTTCTTATAGACCAGTGCCAATAGCTTTTAAAACATAATTAAATTATAGTAGAACGAAAATCATTAGGAAAGGAGAGCAATATTATAAAAATAAAAGGAAAAATAATTTACAGGCGATCTGAGGTCGGCAAGGGTATGGGGATGGGTATTTAAGGGTAAATAATGGTTTTTCTCGATTTCCAACAAAACTAAAAGTCCTACGGAAATAAGTTATATTGCAAAGTTGTAGGTAATAAAAAGATCTAAAACTTTTGTGCCAACATTTTTTTCACATAATCTCAAATTTTATGTGAAAAATTCGAAAAACCAAGTTTTTGGTTTTTTATTTTACCTCTTCCAAAAAACAATTTTGTGTCACGAAATTTGGTGAGAACTTTCCTTTTGATGTTCCAAATGCACTGTAATTTATTTGATAAGAAATATTTAATTTTTCAGCTTATTGTGAATAAATACCGAAAAATCAGCCTCATTATCAATCGAAAAATCACCCGTCAAAATATCACCTTTTTTCAAAAATTTGGTATGTTTTTAATTTTTTTTAATCTCTATTTTTAGATGGTGAAGAAAAAATATAAGTTTCTTACTTGCAGTACCATTTTTGGATAAAATAATCATGTCCCTTTTAATGAAATGACAACCTATATCGTTTGAAAAATGCTCTTTCAATTTATTTTAAATAGTTATAGCAGCTTAATGTCAATTTTCTGTAAATTACCTATTAGAGGGACTATCTGGAGAAGTTCCAGAGTACACAACTATTAAAAATAAATTAGAAAGAGCATTTTCAAAACGATGTTGAGTGTCATTACATTAAAACTTATTATTAAACTTATAATAAACTTATACTTTTTCTTCACCATCGGAAAATAGAGATTTTAACAAACAGAAAACACACCAAATTTTTGAAAAAAGGTGTTATTTTGACGGGTGATTTTTCGATTGATAATGAGGCTGATTTTTCGGTATTTATTCAAAATAAGCTGAAAAAATAAATATTTATTATCAAATAAATTACAGTGTATTTGTTACATCAAAAGGAGAGTTTTCACCAAATTTCGTGACAAAATATTATTTTTTTGTTAGAGATAAAAATAAAAAACCAAAAACTTGGTTTTTCTTATTTTTCACATTTTGTGGTTTTGTGAAAAAAATGTTAGTACAAAAGTTTTAGATCTTTTAATTACCTACAACTTTGCCATATAACATTTTTCCGTAGGACTTTTAGATTTGACGGAAATCGAGAAAACCCATTTTTACCCTTAAATACCCACCCTCATACCCGACCTCAGATCGCCCGTAAATAATTTTTCTTTAATTTTTATAATATTCCCCTCCTGCTCTAATGATTTTCATTCTACTATAATTTAATTATGTTTTAAAAGCTATTTGCACTGGTCTATTAATACATACACGTAAAAGTCTTTTAAGTTATTTAATTTGTCGTTTAATCAAATAATTCAATAGTAAAACTTTATCTAATAACTTTCATTACAGATTTATTTTGTAAACTAAATTAAAAATTTTCTTATAAGTACTTTTTAAAAATGGGTCATTAATAACAGCGCCATCTTACAGCGTCCTATCAAATCATGACGTGACATAACTAGCGCCATCTATCGTACATTTATCTAGTTATATGTATTAATTTAATATTTAATTTAATTAATATTGTTCATATTGCAGCCCCTGTCTACTCATCACAATGTATTCACAAGTCACACCATACTGTACTTACCTGAGGAGCTAAGTGTTGAAGAGGAGTCTATACTTACACAGGTAATAGATAATACTTTTATTAAACATACTAGAAAATGTCAATTTCAATGATTTTATATATATTACAATACAAAATAAGATTTTATTTCGTGGCAAATGTTAATAGTTAGAATAGAGTTAGTTTATTATAATTCCTATACATACTTTATTAATTCAGTTTTGTTTTTGTTGAATTAAAAAAAAAAACAGATAAACAATATGTATGTTGCTAATACAATATATTGTTTCAACAAAAACTATATTTTTGCTATGTCAATTTTATGTACAATAATTACCATATTTTCAATTTACAAATAAAACTTAAATACTTGTTTTGTATTCAGTTTCTAGGCAACAGTTTGTTATTAAACATTATATCTTTACTCTGGCCTATAGTGTGAAGTTTTAATATAAATTGTGTAAACATATTTTTAATAGGATAATTATTGTTATAAAATTCCCAGTTACTAACATACGAGCCATCGGAGAGGTTGGGTTCCGGAGAAACCGGTGTCGAAGAAATAAAACAACATCCATACTTCAAGAATATTGACTGGGAGGAGTTTTATACACAACAATATAACAATTAATATATATATACATATATGTCTGTCTGTGTTTGTGTGTGTAAAGGAGAAATGGAAGATTGAAAACGACGAATTTACATTCAAAATGTTTTAAAATTATTTTGTGTGGCGTGTGTAATATAATATTTATTAATTTTATACAATGAATTATTCTATAATTAGTTCTACATTAATATACGGCGGTACTTTATTTATTTCCAACAATATCAAATTAGTGATATTTAAGTGTGTTTTTGTTTTCAAGTTTATTCCTAGTACTTAGTGTAACTCTAGTCGATATTGAAAAAATTCCAAAATATATTTGTAAGTAAAAATATCTTGAAACCAAAATGAGTATTAAATTATTCCGATCTGATTGAAGTATTAAGTAGTACAATATAGTGATGTATCTATAAGATTTACAATGTGACTTTATACTGAAAAAACAATTTATAAGTTATCACTTCTTAAGCAAAGTCATTTAGTATTAGAATCTTCGTAGTTATTTTTGTATGAATGGTTTGAAATTATAATATTGTATTTATTAAATATGTTGAATAATATCAGTTTTTTTATGCCTTTCCCTATTACAGCATGTAGACAATTAAGATAATATACAGGGTGACTGGTGAATTACTATCGATACTTGAGGACGTGATATTTGACGATCATATATGACAAAATAAAAATTAATATAACATAAATATTAATAAACTTCTAAGTAAAGTTAACCAAAAGTTTTGTAATTAATTACGCATCGTGTGAACACCCTACAGATTAGGTATACACACACATACGCGTGCGGCGGCGTGGTGTTGTATCAGCACGCCGCCGCACGCGTCCGCACTTGGAACACTTGGAACGTGTCCACACTTTATTTATTTATACGGAAATTTGGTCAAAAATTAAGTACCTATTTTTTTTACATAATTCGAATGAGAATCATGTACCGAGTATTCTCCTTAAATATTGATAGTAATTCATCAGTCACCCTGTATATTCGCTATCAGCTTTAATAACGGATGCGACTTGAAAATAATTTGAGGCTGTCATCAATTCTTATTAGTATTCATGATTAATGTTAAAAGTAAAAGGGGATTCTATCGTCACGGGTGGGTCACTTGTACCTCGATTTTCAGCGTGTGTGGCTTATTTACGCTAATTGTATCAATGATATCTAATTGGTTTATCTATACTAATATTACAAAGCTGAAGAGATTGTTTGTTTGTTTGAAAGCGCTAATCTCCGAAACTACTGGTTCGAATTGAATAATTATTTTTGTGTTGGATAGTCCAGTTATCGAGGAAGGCTATGGGCTATATAACATATAGAATATAACAAATTTATCCATGTAATTTTATAGGTACAACAAAAACGGGAATAACACCATGTCAAATTTAATAAAAAAGACATTAAATATTTGTCACGGGTGGGACAAAGGTGTGACATTCTTGTTACACATGCATCATATTTAATAAAACTCTGCTAGTTGATAAAAGTTTTTAATGCAGACTACGATATTTCTTTGAGACAATAAACTAAACTTCACATTTGAATAGAAAATAATGTTTTATTATTTACACATATTTTTTTAAAAAATAAATAAAGTGTGTCACGGGTGGGACTTTCACTGTCACGGGTGGGACACGTACGATTTACTTGGTACAAGGAGTCACTTATAAGTTTTTATTTCTTGATATGGATGCTAGTTTCATCATGGGAGTCAGTTCCGTAGCTTGGGTCTGCATCAAGGTATACATTTTAAACACTCAGCTTGACAGCTATGCATCTTTTCAGAACCAAATCAGCATTAAATTCATTAATAAAGTTCGCAACTTAATAAAAATATTAATATACCAATATTTTTAAAGTATCGTGCCATTTTAAGTATTTTGTATCGACATATATAATATTAAAAAAAAAGAAAAACTTTAAAAAATTACATCAAGGTTTACTTTGCCGTAGAATCCCCCAAAACGAAATCAAAGATTGTTTAAAAGGAGAATAGAACCATGTTTAAATCTTGGTATAAATATGACGTCTGGACGCACGACGGCAGAGTTCAGAGTTCAGTTAGTGCGTATCATTGAAATATGTTATTATGAAGAACCTTCAAGAAATACAGGAGCATTAATAATAATTGAAGTTTCATTTTAAAATATCATGGAACGCTCTAGAAGTGACATGGGTAACGTCAGAGAGGCTGGCGTCTCTCTCTTTAAAAACAACGAATTTGTAGTAAATCTATACTAATATTATAAAGCTGAAGAGTTTGTTTGTTTGAAAGCGCTAATCTCCGAAACTACTGGTTCGAATTGAATAATTCTTTTTGTGTTGGATAGTCCAGTTATCGAGGAAGGCTGTGGGCTATATAACATCACGCTACGACCAATAGGAGCAAAGATATAGTGGTAAATGAGTAAAAAACGGGAGAAATTATTTCATCTTTGAAGCCTTCCGTTGCGTGCACCGTGAAAGCGGTTCAAGATACACAAAAAATATGTATTAAAGAATAATAGCTCTTTTAATGATCTAAAAAACAGTCCGCGATTGTATATGTCTATCTTTTAAGATTAACTCACAAAAACCGTTTTTATGGTACCTAATTTGGTCGAAATAATATGTTTAAGTTGTATCAACATAATATTAATCTTTATTCAAATAATCAAATAAATATGTTGTTGGTTAAGAGTAGGTACTTCATTGTGAATAAAAAAAAACATAGGTTTTATCCTGAAAATTCTGCTCGAACTCGACCATTCCGAAAACCCCCTTAAGAACGGGAACTATGTGGGAAGAACCAAAAATCTGCCGGAAGTCACTATTCCACGCGGACGAAGTCGCGGCAAAAGCTAGTCCGATATATTACAGAATCTTTGATTTTCAACTTGTTGAGAAAAATACAGTTCCTAATATGACCAATAGATGGTGCTTGATTAAGGAAATAAATAGCGCTTTAAAATTTTACAGAACAAAAAATAAATAAACTGGAAAATTTACAAATCATTACGATAATTAAATTCGCCATTAAAGATATTTAACACATTTCTTTAGATACGTCATTTAATTTTTATCAAAACCTTAATATAAACTAGCAAAAATCGATCTCATTAATTAGTCCAACTTTTTCTTTAATAATGAATTCTCGATAATACTTACATAAACATCTAGACGTTTTCGTTAAAGAGTTGTAATAATATTAACTTTCAAGATTTAAGCAATATATCGCCAATACAAGCAGTATGTTAATTGCATGTTTCGTATTTCTCGCAACTCGCACAGCAAGTGTACATTAATGTACCATAAAAATAATTATTAATTACGTCACTCTTTCATAAATTGTACTCCGAGTAGACCTGTCGAGGCCGGCATTTCTTTTAAGGTGATCAACTTAATATCATTGTAGTAAAGCCTCCATAAAGCTTTACTCGATACAAATAAAGTTCCTTTTCCTTTAATTTTTTTTTAATCCATTCATGGCATAAATTGTTAAACGAAAACATACTTTACGCTACGCGCTGTGAACTTAAATTGCTTTCGCAACTTAAAACGATTTTGCCGTATTTAAATTCTAACTTTACCGGTTGGAATAAAGTCCAAAATTAATTGAAAATATCACTAAGTTATGATAATACGGCAGAATGAAATATATTACTTGTGGCGGCAATTTTGATAGGAATGTCAAACTTTTTAATTTGTTGGTGTAACTGACAGTCTCGGGAGAATGTAAGATGGCGATTGCTTTAAGGCAGTCTTTGATTTGCTAAGACGCTGTCACTTCGCGTCGCGCATGCGCAGTGAAAAGTATTCGTGTTTTTCCCGCTTTAAAAATACATGACATTAAAGACGTATTTTAAATAAAAAGTGCATAGTTTTTTAGTTACATTTTATGTAATAACTTTTATAGTTGACTGTGGAATTTGTGAAGAAACTGGATTATCTCATTATAATTTAAATGTTTGTATAGGTATATGAGTATTCTGTTTATGATTACGTGTTTGTGGTCGGTGGAATCCAGTCGGAGGTGAGTTTAGAGACGCTTCTTTTCGTTTTAATATAAAATGATTGCATAAACATATTTTATTATAATACTTAGCATACGAAATAGTCGTATATTCTATTTAATAATGTTACTATGTCGTAGATTTTTTCCTGTTTATCTCAATGATAAATATGAATTAAATTATTCAATTACATACTATGTTTGCAACAAGGAATTGTGCAAATGGAAATTATTTACATTCCATGTCTTAGTTACTGATGCTGAGTTACTTTCCAATCAAATAGGTCCGAAGCGAAGGTCAAATACATGTTTTACTATTTACATTTAACCAACGATGCTTTTAACTTGGAACCATTACGATAAATATGTTTTGACAAAATCTAATCTTAAACAGAATTTTTGAAAGATAATTGTGTATTAATAAGAAATAAAGTACATAAAACTGTTAAAATTTATAATTTTCGTAGTGAAACTTGGTTATTTTTCTCAAATATCTCAAAATATATATAATAATATTATTGATTGTATAAAATTATCGTCTCTCGTAATCTAGTGGCTAGTGAAGCGACATTAAGTAATGTAATAAAACAGTCAAACAATACTTACAACTTGCTTTCTTTCTGCTTTCGAGTTTCAATAACTTTCTATAGTGTTATATGTAAATTGACAGTTTTAAGACGGACGCGACGCTATTACGTATTTAAATAAAAAATATTATTACAGGAATATGGTACATGTTTTAAATTATTTACTCTTTTTAATGTATTTTTTTTATATAAATGATTTATGACTTGATTTGACGTCACTATAATAGTAGATTTATAGCAAAAAATATTTCAATAGATTTCGTACTTCTTTGACGAGATTTATTTTAAATATATCGTTAATATAAAATAATTTATTTTGTATATTTTAAGTATAAGTAATTCTGTCTGATGTAAGTATTACTTATACATATGTGCATATACCAGTTTTTTTTGCATCGTTATTTCTTTAATCGTATTTATAATTAACACGAAG